TAAAATATCCATGACATACTTCCTCCGAGATATAACAATACCATCATTGGATCGTGCCACCTCAATACCCAAGAAATATCTAAGTTTGCCAAGATCTTTGGTCCGAAAATGGTGACGAGAGATGTTGTTTCAAGCGAGAGATGCCATGGTTGTCACTACCTGTAAGAACGATGTCATCGACATATACTATCAAGTAAACACATCCGAGCACTTGAGTGTCGATAAAAGACGAGTGATCTACTTCACACCGAGTCATACCAAAATGTTGAACAACCTTGCTAAACTTTCCAAACCAGGCCCTAGGAGACTGTTTTAGGCCATATAGGGATTTGCGAAGACGACATACCATCCCAGAAGACTCCCCCTGAGCAACAAACCCAAGAGGTTGCTCCATATAGATTTCTTCTTACAAATCACCATTGAGGAAAGCATTTTTAACATCTAGTTGATAAAGATGTCATTGTTGAAGAGCAGCCATGGCGATAAATAAACGAACAAAAGTCATCTTTGCCACAGGGGAAAAGGTATCTCCATAATCCAACCCAAAAATTTGAGTATAACCTTTGGCCACAAGACGAGCTTTGAGGCGATCAATAGTGCCATCAGGTCCAACTTTGATAGCAAACACCCACCTGCAACAAACAACAGATTTCCCAGACGGTAACGAGACCAATTCCCAAGTTCCACTATTATGAAGAGCACTTAGTTCATCTAACATGGCCTGACGCCAACCAGGATGGGCTAAAGCTTCACGGACAGTTTTTGTAATGGTCACAGAAGAAAGAGAGGAAAGACATGTATAAAAAGGTAATGACAGTCGATGATAACTCAAACCAATATAATGAGGAGAGGGATTGCGTGTAGAACGGATACGTTTTCGGAGGGCAATGGGAAGGTTAGACTCAGGTGTCACATCTGGAGGAGACAGAGTAGTTGGCACTTGAGTAGAGTCACATGGTGGTGGTTGTGATTGGTTTCGACAACTATAAACCTGAAGAGGCAGTGAAGAAGAAGCTGACTGCGGAGTAGCATCTAATGGTGAAGAAGACACAGTTAGAGGGTCACAAACAACAGGAACATTAAATGTACTAGGAGTGTTGACAAGATTAGATGGAGACAGAGGTGAAGATTGACTTTTAAAATAAAAAGAGAACTCATCAAAGGTGACATCTGCAGACACAAAATAACGGTTAAGAGAAGGAGAAAAACATTTGTATCCTTTTTGTGATCTTGTAAACCCTAAGAAAACACATTTATGTGATCTAGGAGAAAGCTTGTCAAGACTAGAACTAAAATTATGAACAAAACATGTAGACCCGAAAACTTTTAGAGGTAAGGGATGAAGTGGTTCATGAGGGAATAAAATGGAATGAGGTATTTTATTATCTAGAACCGAAGATGACATGCGATTAACAAGATAACACACAGTAAGAAGAGCATCACCCCAAAAATGCTGAGGAACCTCTCCATGAATTAAAAGAGTGCGAGTTGTTTCAATAAGATGTCTATTTTTACGTTCAGCTACACCATTTTGTTGAGGTGTATAAGCACAAGAAGTTTGATGCAAAATACCATGAGAAGCCATGAATTGTTTAAAAGAATGAGAAAGATATTCACGACCATTATCAACTGCGCAAAACTCTAATAGAAACACGAACCGAGTTTGAATTTCATTGAAAAAAGTTTGAAAGATATGAAATAATTCGAACGATTTTTCATCAAAAATAACTAAGTGCATCTGGAATAATCATCAATGAAAGTAACAAAGTATTGAAAACCTAAAGTAGACTTAACGCGGCTAGGTCCCCAAATGTCGAGTGAACCACGACAAAAGGGACGAAGCACCACGTGTGACACTATGAGGAAAGGAAGTACGACTATGCTTGCCTAATTGACACGACTCACATGCCAAACTAGACAATTTAGATAAGGCAGGGACAAGTTGTTGTAACTTGGCAAGACTTGGATGACCTAACTGAGCATGGAGAAGAGAGGGAGACTCTATAACTGCACCAACATGTGTAAAGGGACGAAGATGATAAAGACCATGAGACTCACATCCTGTGCCAATCACCTATTTCGAACTCCAATCCTGTAAACACACAGAATTGTTGGTAAAAGAAACAACACAATCAAGAGAACGAGTTAGACGACTGATGGATAACAGGTTAAAAGGAGACCCAGGGACATAAAGAACATTATCAATGGTTAAAGAAGGGAAAAGTTTAACAGTTCCAACACCATGAGATGATACTCTAGAGCCATCAGCTAGTGTAACAAAAGGTAAAGGATCAGGAGAGGATAAAAAGGAGAACAAAGATTTGTTACCAGTAATATGATCAGTGGCTCCTGAATAAAAAACTCAAGGACTAGAAGAAGATTGGGTCAGACCAGCAAAAGATGTACCTGTGTGTGCGACAGACACAGTGGAACTAGAAGACTGTTGATCCTTATACCATTTGAGAAATTTGTTGAACATAGCAGGTGTGGAAGAAGGAGGAAATAGAAGAAGGAGGATCCTTAGCAGATAAAGGTGGGGAAAAATCAGTCTGAGCAACTGCAGTAGATCGAGTAGGACGACCATGTAATGCATAACACTTGTCAATCTTGTGACCTAGTTTGCCACAATGTTCACACTCATGTAATGCATAACACTGGTCAATCTTGTGACCTAATTTGCCACAATGTTCACACTTAGGACGCCCTTTTCCCTATTTGCGAGGGCGAGTTCGATCATCACGGTGAGATACCAATGCAGAAGAATCATTAACAGAAGCAGGTGTGTTAGGGTTGAGTTTTGCTGGTATACGCAAAAGAGTGGAGCAGGTTGATGTCAAGGTGGGGACAACCGGAGGACCCAAAATCTGATCACGAATATGTGAATATTGATCAGCAAGTCCGTGTAATGCCCCTAGCATGAAGAACTTTGATCGTTGTCCTATCTCGGTGGCAGGGTCGGGGGAAGGAGGCAATAACTCATTGAACTCATGAAAAAGTGCATGAATTTTGCCCATATAATCAGTCATAGAATCTTGATGTTTAGAGGCAATAACATCTACAAATTTAGAACAGACATCATAGAGACGTTGAATATCATTGGTGTATAATAACTTGGCATGTTCCCAGATTTTGGCACATGTTTCGTAGGAACGAAAAATTTGTTTTAACGAAGGATCAAGAGTACCCTTGAGAACCACGCATAATTGAGCATCAATGGTGTCCCAACGGTCTTCCTCACCAGGAGTGAGAGTAGGTGCTTTCGGGGCAAGATGATCAAGATACTTCGACTCTTAAGCCATAATCTGACGTCCGATGACCATGTGGCATAATTAGGGCCGGTTAACTTGTCAATGGATAAGTGCACATTAACATAGTTAGTGTAGATGGAAGGATCAGACGCAGTACTGACAGAATTGGAAGTACTAAAATGAGCGGAAGAACTCATAAAGGGCAGAGGCGATAGTGACAGCGGCGTGAACCAGTACACCAGGTAAGTTCCCACGAAAGAGAGGTGGGTCACTAATGGACACGCTTAAATACCAAGTCTTTCCTTGTCAGAACTTTCCTAGACATGCACTTTCACACTGCCAAATAACCGACAGCGATAGCGCCGGTGGTGACGGCTTCAATAGTGGTCAAAGGCGAAAAAAAATTCAAAATAACCTTAAGCTCTAGATACCATGTTGAATATAGAAGAAATAGAGTTTGGGATTAATCTCCCTTGTGTATAAATCACACATAGGGTAGTCTATTTATAGTAGAGAGATACAACTAAAAGAGTAATCGAAAATAACAGAATAAACAGAAGATATTGTTAGATATTATTGTTTGATATTATGGTTAATATCTAACAATATCTTAATAATATTAAATAATATCTAAATAATATCTAACAGTTATCATATTAGAACATATATAATAAAATTAATTTCTCATTTTAAAATTTATATAATTTTTTTATATTATATTACATCATATTTAACTAATTTATATTTTATTTTATTTCAATAGTATTTCTTAAAAAAAAATTTGTCCCCACTTATTTTTAAAATTTTTGTAATTATTTGATGAAACAATGAAAAAATTTCTTCTTATAAAAAAAATCTCAAATAATTACTACTTCAGTTAAATATTTTAATTGAAAGTTAAAGACGCTTTTAATATATATATATATATATATATATATATATATATATATATATATAGTTTTTATTATATAACAAATAACTAATATAAGTGGTGAAGAAAATGAAATGAAATAAAATAAAATAAATAATAATTATAAAATTCAGTTCGTTTTTCGAAACTACAGGCAGAATGACAAATATGGATGAAGTTTATTTTTAGTGAGGAAAATTACTTATGCATGAGAGCTTTGGAGTAAATTGCGTTATTTGAATTAAATACGACAAATTTGAGTGGTAGGTGTTGAGGAAAATTTGGCTAAGTGTTTACCTTAATAGATTTAGATAATAATGTATTATGTTTTATAACTATTTTTAAAATATAATTTAATTTGTATTGCTTATATCAATGTAAATGTGATGTGTCCACGTAAGTTTTTTAATAAGAAATGTATAGTAAATTACATAAAAGTGTCACTTCAATCAAAATATCGTGAAATAATTTTAATAAATATATAAAACATCTAATTATATATTTTTTTAAACACACCAACTACAAGCTGATGAAAGAGTCCATAAGTACATGAAATTGAACTATAGAACAAGGTCTGGTAAGAGACTCTATTTTTTATAAGAAGAGATTTAATAACAGAAGAATTGAAGAACAGAATAAAACATAACAGAAGGGACATGAATTTTATTTATCCAAGTGAGCATGGCTCTTATTAGAATAGAGGTAGCATGTCATTCCCACGCCTGCTATATATGCTGTAATACAGGACAACAAAACTTAGTCATTAGAGCATGAGAATGACTTGTTTAGCTTAAAATCATTAAAACAAAAATAAAATACTTACGTGAAAATTTACTTAATAGTTATGGTGAGGCGTTATCACTAACAGCGTCAGTGCCACCACCACTTCCTCCATGGACGTTATCCACATCCTCCGGATCACCGTTAGCGCCAAGGCCAAGGCCAACGCCAACGCCAACGCCAAGGCCAATGCCAGCGTCAGTTTCTTGTGCAGAGGAGGCGTGGACGTGGAAGATTAAAAGGAGGAGCAAAATGAGAAATGAAAAGCTTTTGGAGTAAGCCATTGGCGTACGTTGTGAAGAAGATTATATGAAGTGGTGGCATAGGGTTTTCTGATGCACCATATTTATAATTTAATTTTAACACTTTACCTACGCTGCATTGATTCAAATAATAAGAGTAGATTATAGTTGCATTCCTATCAATGATCTTAATTGAAACAGTAACTAACTTCCATCATCCCTCGAAAGATTTAAATATACTTTATTATAATATTTATTTTTGTTTTATCAAATATAATGTGTAAGTTAATATATTATTAGAGTTAATTTTCACGTTTTAGATATAAGTTATTTTAAAATTTTCTGTTGTCATGATATTGTCTTTAAAATATATTTTAGTAAATTAAGAAATAAAGATATATGTAAATTATCATTGAACTCAAATTTTAAGTAACGTGAGACTCATGCATTATTAGAGGACAAACATGCTGTTTCAAAATTACCATTTTGTGGCAATGATATATAACAAACGGTTGGGAGAGAGAAGTGTGGCACAAGTGCTATTGTGTCAACCTTCTCTCACAAATCTTCTTTCCATTTTCTGTAAATTCCCTATAAGCAAACTTTGAACACACCGTTACCATCAATTTTTACATCTATTTTTTATATATGAGATATTGTTTATTTTAAAACTCAATTTTATTTTTAAAAAAGTATCAATATATTAAAAGAAGAAAATATATATAAATTATTATTAATAAAATCATGAACATTTGGAAACAGTCAAATCAATATTAATATTGATGTTAATTTTGAAAAGAAAGAGCCACGCAACAAAATATTAACATAACTAAAAAAAATACATATGTTCCTATATTCCTTGCGATGCCTCAGTGAGGCTTTAAATATTTATAATTTTTAAATTATTATTATTCATCAAATATATATTTTAATTTATTATATTTATATTAATATATATATATATATATATATAAAATTTAATTTTGTTTATAATATTTATAATATTAATACTATTATATAATATACTCAAATATACAATATATAACTTATAAAAAAATTAATAAATTAATTTTTATTTAATTAATGGAAAATAATACAAATTTTAACGGTTAATTATTGCTAATTTTTTAAAATATATTTATTTAATTAAAATAAATTTTGATATATGATAAATTAGAATAATAAAATTCATAAAATATATAATAATGAAATTTAATAAAGATAAAATAAAAATAAAAATAAAATAATATTAAGTGTTATTAAAATTGATACACTTAAAAAAATAAAGAAAAAACTTAATTTTGTATTTATCAAATTGGTTATGTCATAGATAAAAGATTGAAACAAAAAAAAAGATTAAAAGAATGTGAAGGATTAAAAGGTGAGAGAAAAAAATATCTTAAACTAATTAATTAAAAATATTGAGAAAGATAAAAAAAGTGAAAAATAAATAAATAAAAAATAAAAATACGGAATAGAGAAAAATAATGATCATATATATATATATATATATAATTTAAAAAATTAAAAATAAATAATATTTTTAAATTTATGTTTAAATACAAAATTAAGAAAAATTACTTTATTCATTCCCAACTTCAAATTCTTAAATTGAAAATATCCAAATTCACATCTAACTCGATCAAGTTGTAAGTTTCTTCAATGAAACTATTATCATTCCTAAAAATAACCCAAAGCTAATGAATGTAGGGTAGGGAAATAAATTGTAATTAAGAATTCTAACTTATACAATTAGTCAACGATCGAAATACACTCTTGGCCATTGGCATAGGTTATATAGATTGAGAAACTGAGGCATTCCAATAGAACAATTCATATTGTTTATTTCTTGAAAAATGTAAAACAAAAATTAATGATGGCACATTATTTTTTTTTTAAGTAACTTATTTTATATTTTACTCCATTAGAAATTTTTTTAATAAATTTTAAAAAATGCATTTTGTTTTTTATTCTCTCTCCTCAATTACTTTAATTTGTTCATTTTTATAAATTGGTTAATGAAACAATTATCAAAAAGATTAAAATATTTATCATCACACATAAGATTATTTTAATAAAAAATTACTTCCAATAATTAATATTTTATTTAAGCAACTTTCATTAAAAATACTTTAATATAATTGAAAAGAAAAATTATCTAAATAAAATCTTTTCTAAATTTATTTATGTAACTAGACATGTTATTATTTTAACATAAAATTCAAAAACTAGAAATAAATTCGTCTGACATGATATAATTATTTTTCTTGTTTTTCTCATTTTTTTCTTTCTTCATTTACTTTTTGTTATTTATTTTTTCTATCTTCATATCATTTTTTTTAATATTATATGATAAATTTAAAATATTACAAATATTATTATTATGTTATAATTATTAAGAAAAAAATAAATATTTATTTTGAAACAATTTTTTAACAAATATTTTTTTTAAATTACCATATTTAATTAATTATCATAACTTAACTTAATTATAATGATAATAAATTATTAAGTAGAAAAACTTCCTTGGTTACGACAAGAAGCATATAATTTATTCTAATGTTTTGTATTGCTTATTAATCGATTAAATTACATATGAAAACATAACCCATTAATTTATGTATGATATTTAAAAACAATAATATATATATATATATATATATATATATATATATATATATATATATATTAACTATTAATTTAACTGGAAGTAAACTGAGTTGGTAACTTAATACGTACAACGTTAATACAAACTTTAGAAGTGAACTGAGTATTTAATACTTGTGGTTAAGTTGTGTTACAAACTAACTTTTAGGGTTTAGCTATATCTATTTTTTAATTCAATCAAAATAATACGAATTAGGTTGAATTTGTAGCATTTAATTAATTGACAAAATTAACTCAAACATACGTGTCATAAATGGATTAGACAAATCATATTTAAATATTTACGAATTCAAAAATTGAAATTTATTACTTAATTCATGCATATATATATATATATATATATATATATATATATATATATATATATAAGTTTAAATAATTTAGGTCGAATTTAAATTAAACACTCAAAATGTTAAACCTAAAATTATAGATTTTTTTTGAATTTTTTATTATCTATATACTGGTAAACCCTCGTTTCATCTTTACGTGTGACATTTTTTGTATTTATGATTTCAAGCATTCAATTTGGAAGTTGAAAGATGAAACAGTTGAAACGTGTGCATTGTGTGAGATAAAATATCGTAGAAAAAAATAGTTTTTTTTTTTTAAATGCCTGTGCTCACTATTTTCTCATTAATGAAAACTTAAAAACAGAAAATAAAAATAAAAAGTCTACATTCATGTACCTCACACGTTGAAAAAACATTTATTTGTATCCACTCCTCTTCTCATAATGGAGGTCTTTGACTCAATTTTGTTTCTCAATCTCTAGTTGATTTTAACTACAATAATCGGAGTCGTGCAATGAGAACTAATATTTTTATTATTTATTATATTTTTTAATTATTTATAACCTATTTTTTTGAGATCTGACTCTCTTTTATATTTTTATTATTTATTATTATTAATTTTCCTCCTGAGTTTTGTTTTTCAATCTCTCATTAGTTCTATATTTATATATTTGAATATATTTATATATTTTGATATATTTATATATAATTAAATATTTATTTTCTAAAATTAATTAATTTAATAAATTATTATAAATTAATTTATTATGATTAAATTAAATTATTAAATAAAAAATATTTAATTTTTTAATTAGGTAAATAATTAATTTATTAGAATATATTAAGTAATTATTATATAATTTTATCGACGGATATTCGTCGGTAATTTATCGATAGATTTACTAACTGAAATATCCATCGATAAATAATTGTTAATTTAAAGATGAATTTACCAACGGATATATCTATCGCTAATTAATTGTTAATTTATCGACGGATATATCCGTTGGTAACTAATTATTAATTTTCCGATAAATTTACTAATGGAAATATTCATCGGTAAATAATTGTTAATTTACCGACGAATTTACTGACGGATATATCCATTGGTAATTAATTGTTAATTTATATCCGTCGGTAACTAATTATTATTTTACCGATGGATATATCCGTCGGTAAGACCAAATTCTACAAATGCTTTATATCCATCTGTAATGACTCATTTTCCAACGACTACAAATCTGTCGTTAAAAATTCATCGAAAATATGTGATTTTCTTGTAGTGCAAACTTCAATCAATATGGGAAGTCAGTATGGGAAGAATTGACTGCTTTCAAACCTGCATGTTATGTCCTTTTTTATGGGACTCAATGATTCATTTTCTCACGTTCGTAGTCAGATTTTGCTTATGGATCCTATACCTCTTATCAGTAATGTTTTCTCCCTTGTCAATCAAGAAGAAAAACAGAGAGAAATTGGGATGCCTTCATCCTCTATTGTTGAATCTTCACATGCCTTTGCTGTCAAGGTTCCTATAAAGTCCTTTAAGCCTGGCAAGAAAGATCGTCCTTTATGCAGCCACTGTGGAGTTCTTGGTCACACCATCGACAAATGTTTCAAACTTCATGGTTATCCTCCCATATTCAAGAACAAATCTAAAGGTCAAAATGTGGTTGCTCAAGTTTCTGAATCTAACATTACCAATTAGTTTTCAGCATCCCAGTGTCAACAATTAATTCACATCCTATCCTCCCAATTAACAACTCCTTCTACTTCAAATAATACCCCTGAAGAATCAGCCTTCACTTCAGGTATTGCCATGTCTATTGCTAAATCCACTATTCTTTCATCTTCTTCCTATTGGCTATTGGATTCTGGTGCATTAAATCATATTTGTTTCTCTCAAAATATGTTTGATTCACTTTTTGTTTTATCCAACGCGTTTGTTACTCTTCCTAATGGATAAAAAAATCCTATTCAAGGCATAGGCAACATCCAATTATCTTCACATTTGTTCTTATCAAATGTTTTCTACATTCCCTCTTTTACTTTCAATCTTATTTCTTTGAGTTCTCTTTTGTCTGTACACACTTATAATATCACTTTTTTTTTACAATTCCTTCATTATTCAGGACAAGCAAACTTCAATGATGATTGGGAAGGGTGAAGCCCAAAATGGTCTATATTTTCTCAACATTGAACCAAATCCTGTTAAATTTGTTTGTAATTTTGTATCACATTGTGTTTGGCATCATAGACTTGGTCATTTGTCATATGATTCTTTTGTTTCACTCAATAATAAATACAAACTTGTTTCTTCTAAAATTCCTTATTCCATTTGTCATATCTGTCCATTAGCTAAACAACATAAATTGACACTTACGGTCCTTACCCTGAGAAAACACATAATGGCAAAAGATACTTCTTGACTCTAGTAGATGATCATACAAGATATACAATGTTGTTTTTAATGCAGCAAAAGTCAGAAGCAACCAAGATAATCATGGATTTTTTTGCTTTTGTTGACACTCAATTTGGTATTAAAATCAAATGCATCAGATATGGTAATGCAAAGGAGCTTGTTCTCACTGATTTTTTGCAATCTAAAGGAGCTACTCATCAATTTTCTTGTCCAGAAAGGCTACAACAAAACTCAATTGTAGAAAGAAAATATCAACACCTTTTGAATATTGCAAGGTCTTTGATATTTAAGTCTCAGGTTCCTTTATCTTTCTAGGGTGATTGTGTTTCCACTGTTGCCTTTATCATCAACAAAATTCCATCCAAGGTATTGAAGCTACAATCTCCTTTTGAATTGTTGTATCAAAAGCAACCAAATTACTTAGCCATGAGAGATTTTGGTGTTAGAAAACTAATAATTATGATCCTGATTTTTATTCTAACAATCAAACATAAACATTATCCCATACTCATAAACATGTTGTAGACTGAATGCGAAAGCGTATTTGAATTAACCATAATGATGATGTCCCTTTTAGAGCATTATTAATCTTATGGTCTTCCACCTGAAGAACACCTTTATTTTCCCTCTGGATTTTCGCTCTTGATGGTAATAGAAAAAAAAGAATGGGAAACTGAGACTTACGTTCTGTGTGTGTGCTCTCATAAGGGACTATGACCCTTTAAATAACCAAAATTAGGTTAATTACTTAAGTTTTAGTATTTCTAATTTGACCCCTCATCAAATTAGAAATCACTCTATGATCTCTACACAATTTTATTTTCATGACATATGTCTTTAGCCAAAATTTTAATTTAGTCAGATCACTTTATTATTTGACTTAATAAATAATTGTACTAACACATTTAAATTATGTATCATATATATACATGACCCAAAATTTGCCAACAATCTCCCACTGGTCACAAATATATATGTTCTTACAACCTTACAAATGTGTTAGACTTTATGAGCTCAAAATTGTCATTATATTCCTTTAGCATACTCTAAAAGTCTCGTTCATTGATCATATAAGGATATAGAATCAAACCAGTTTTTCATTGCATCATTGCAACTAAAACCAACAATGATTACTAATCCTAACATAACCAAATGACATGGATTCATCATGAAATGTGTAGCATGAAAAATTACGTGAAGGTGATCTGTACATATTATTTTCAACTGGTCCAAACTTTAACTTATCGAGATTGATATACTAATCTTAATGTACAAAGTGTAATGAATGAACAAAAAACTGCATATCTATAAATAACCAAATATGTCCAAAAAATCAATGTATACATACATGAAATTAAACATAGAGCATAAAATATATGAAAATGACTAACTCCCACTAAACCATAAATTTCTCAAACTGTAAAACACCCATGTGAGCAACATGCTCATGAAAGACCTTGGGCGGAAGTTCTTTAGTTAGAGGATCTGCTATCATGGAGGTTGTCCCTAATTGTTCTATGGAAAATTGTCTACTTTGTACTCTTTTCTTAACAACTAGGAATTTAATGTCGATGTGCTTTGACTTAGTCGAGCTCCTATTGTTGTTGGAATACAATACAGTTGATTTGTTGTCACAATATAACTTAAGTGGTATTTCAATGTCTTTCACAATTTGCATCCCTGTAATAAAATTTTTCAGCCATATTCCATGATTTGATGTCTCATAGCATGTTACAAATTTTGTTGTCATAGTAGATGAAATTGTAAGGGTTTGCTTGACACTGCGCCAAGAAACCACACCACCTGCCAACATGAAAATGTAACCTGAAGTGGATTTCAAACTATCTTGACATCCTTCAAAGTCTGAGTCAGAAAACCCAGCGATCTCCAACTGGTTTAACCTCCTGTATGTGAGCATATAATCTTTTGTTCTCTTTAAATATCTCATGACCATTTTTTGTTGCTTTCCAATGGTCCATTCTTAGATTACTTAAATATCTGCCTAGAACCCCAATTATGTATACTATTTCTGGACGTGTACATATTTAGGCATACATCAAACTCCCTACAGCTGATGCATAGGGAATCTTCTGCATTTCCTCAATTTCCAAATTCCTCTTTGGGTATTGATTGAGACTAAACTTGTCTCTCTTAGCAACTAGAGTATTCCCGAATTTACATTCATGCATGACAAACTTTTTAAGAATTTTTTTCGATATAGCTCCTTTGTGATAATCCTAAAATATTTCGAGATCGATCTCGGTGTATCTAAATTCTTAATGCAAAAGAGGCATCACCAAGATCTTTCATTTCGAAATTCTTTGATAAAAATTTCTTGGTTTTGTGCAATATGCCTATATCATTAGTGACAAGTAGAATGTCTTCAACATACAAGATCAAGAAAATATGTTTGTTCCCCTTAAACTTGTAATACACACAATTATCAACAATATTCATCTCGAAACCAAATGAGAGAATTACTTGATGAAATTTGTAGTACCATTGACGAGATGTTTGTTTTAATTCATAAATGGATTTTGTCAGTTTGCAAACCATATTCTTTGGATCTCCCTGCACAAAATTTTCTAGTTGTGCCATTGAGAAACGTCGTCTTGACATTCATTTCATAAAGTTCCAAATTATAATGTGTTAGAAGAGTCATGATTGTCCTAAAAGAGTCTTTCGATAAAACTAGAGAAATTTTGTTTTTAAAATCAATCTTTTCCTCTTGAGTATAGCGTTTAGCTTCACCTTACCTTTAAAATTCTAACTATTACATTTATCCAACCCAAGCTATCAATCATTGCCTGTATATATAGGATAATTCAATGAGTAGTAGTTGGAATTGATAAACGCTGCAAGCGCTAAGAGCAAAACTTGCTTCCCCGAGGTTCTAGCCTCGCTAAACAAAGCTGTTCTCCACTCCCTGATTAGTACACCTAAGTTTTGCATGTCTGAACTAGAGGATGGATACTCATAATCAAGGTCAAGGCCGTGGAAGTTGTTTGATCGGGCTAGTTGTATTGACGAGTCAATGAATGATTTTCGAGAACTGGGTTGACTTGCCATTGTGGAAAAGGTTGATGGATCGGAAGCACCACCTCCTATGGATAATAGGGTTTTAACTGAAGGGTTCTTTCGCTGAACGGTTTGGGTGAAGATGAGAACTGAGCGGAGTTTGAAGAGGAAATTGTGACTTTGTAAGTGGTAGCATTCAAGTCGGCAAAGGCACAAAAGAGATGGGTGAAAAGTGTGGAGTTGATGTCTGATGATGAAAGACCACTATCAGGGAAATAATACCCTCCGTTGATTTCTGCAGTCGACACATGGAGATGCAGCATGAACAAGAGAAAGGGAATCAGAAATGGAAACCTTTTAGAGTTCGCCATTGGCACTGTAAACAAGATTATGTTATGTGAAGTACTTGGTTGTTTCTGGTTAGCTATGCGGGTTGTAATGGATGTATTGCACACTTGCACCACTTACGTACGTTGCATGCAATTGAATAAAATGCATTTACAGAGAGGTTCAAAAGCTTAACAACTGGCAGTAGGTAGTAGCCAAGAATGATATGCTTCAAAATATCTTACTGAAATACACAGCTAGCCACCTTAATATTGAATTTGCAGCATTATTTGTCTTCAATATTGAAGTTGCTAATTAAGAAGTAATAACCTGGATGGTTGGTAACAGACAGTGGTCCAGATTTTTGGTTGTCCTTAGATGGTTATTTTTCTTATTGATTATTAGAAAATCATCAACCAAATTTCATAACACAAGGACTTTTGATTTTCACTTTTAATTCTCATCACCCTTCTATTCCCTCACAAATTTGTCTTCCCCTCCACCATATATACCTTGTTGTACTCATTGGAAGTTGTGGCAATGAACATTAAATATTCATCTTCATATGCTTGGTCACAAAAGAATGTCGTGTTTTCACTAGTGCAGAATAGGGTTTTTACGTCACCCAATTGTCGTCGCATGCATGTATATTCGACGTAAATAAAACGCGGTGGCAATTTTGTAAATATGGGACAAAAATTTTACGTCGCACATCCCAGTATGCGACGTAAAAATCCTCTTTTACGTCGCACCTGGGAGGCGTGACGTAAAAGATGACTTTTTACGTCGTGTGCTGGGATGCGCGACGTAAAAAGTCTATTTTATTTCCCTCCAGACCCACTTCCTCGTCTCGCGCAATCAGGGTTTTTGAGAACGACGACGAGAACGACGACAACAGCTACCTCTGCACACCATTTTCGAGCAGTTTTACAGTGAAAAGCATCTACATTATCGTGTCATTTGACGAACTTGATCTTTCTCCCCGATTGGATTCGAGTTTGAAATCAGTTTTCGTCTACACTCGAGGTTAGTGTGTTATGTCATTGCTATATGTTTACATTGAATCCGTGATTGTTTTTGGGGATCTCAATCACGTTATAGTATGAATGTCTCCACTGGATTGTTATTGGAATGTAATTAGTTGTTTATTTGTTTGAGTGCATTCGGTTTACACACTCCATTGTTGTTGGAACGTGTTTTGTTGTTTGTATATTAATTTTTTTTACATATAATTTTTAAATCTCTAGAGTGACGAAACTTTATAACATAATATGAATCGAAGTTGGATGAATGCACGTCGTATTAGTGAAGAGTACGAAAAGGGAGTTGAGGAATTTTTGAAATTTGCTAGTGAAAATGGAAAAGCTATGAAAGGGACATATTATTGTCCATGTGTTCGTTGTTTGAATCAAATTCGTCATAAACTTGAGGATATACGTGATCACTTGTTTGTTTATGGTATTATTAAGAGTTATACAATATGGACATGGCATGGAGAAATATTAGACATCCCAACTGTGTCAACTACAGACAATTTTGATGAAGGGATGGATGATAATCTAGAGGATATAATACGTGATATTGGTGAAGAAAATTTTATGAAAACACATCTATATGATTCTTTGAAATTTGATTTTGCGCAACAATTGTACATAGGATGTAGTTTTACAAGATTATCAGCAACTTTAAAATTGTTTACTTTAAAAGCAAGAAATGGATGGACTGATAAAAGTTTCACCGAATTATTGGAGTTATTGAAGGAGATGCTTCCTAAAGATAATACATTACCTATTCGTAACTATGAGGTAAAAAAGATATTATGTCCAATGGGTTTAGAGTACAAGAAAATACATGCATGTCCTAATGATTGTATATTGTACAGAAATGATTTTGCTAAATTAAAGATGTGTCCGACATGTGGTTTGTCGAGGTTCAAAAACAAAGTTGAGGAAAGTAGTGGTGAGGAAGAAGTAGATGGTCCCCCTGCTAAGGTGTTATGGTATTTGCCAATTATACCTAGGTTTAAAAGATTATTTGCCATAAAAGAAGATGCAAGAAACTTGACATGGCATGCAAATGGTAGAAAATGTGACAATCTTCTTCGACATCCAATTGATTCTCCACAATGGAAAAGGATTGATGAAACCTTTCCAGAATTTGGTGCAGAGCCAAGAAACTTGAGAATTGGATTAGCTACGAGATGGGATGAATCCTTATGGAAATTTAAGTAGTAAACATAGTTCATGGCCAGTTATGTTGATCATTTACAATTTGCCTCCTTGGTTATGCATGAAGAGAAAATATATGATGTTATCTATGATGATTTCGGGACCTCGACAACCAGGAAATGACATAGATGTATATCTTAGTCCTTTAATTGATGATTTGAAAATGTTGTGGGAAACAGGAGTGGATGTATTTGATTCATATCACGAAGTGAATTTCGGGTTGCATGCAATGTTATTTTGTACTATAAATGATTTTCCAGGCATATGGTAATTTGAGCGGTTATAGTGTGAAAGGTCATTTAGCGTGTCCTATATGTCAAGAAGACACAAGTTATATCCAATTGAAACATGGACAAAAAACTGCGTACAATAGGCATAGAAAGTTTCTAGTTGCTAATCATCCATATCGTAAAATGAAAAAAGCATTTAATGGATGTCGGGAGAATGCGGTTGCATCGATACCACGCAATGGTGAACAAGTATATGAGCAAGTGAAAAATATTAATATTGTGTTTGGAAAGACCCAAAAGAAATCCACTGAGAAAAACATTTGGAAGAAACAATCTATATTCTTCAATCTTCCTTATTGGTGTAAGTTGGAAGTTAGACATTTGTATAGATGTGATGCATGTTGAAAAAAATGTTTGTGATAGTATAATTGGGACATTGCTTAACATAAAAGGAAAGACAAAAGATGGAATAAAAGCAAGACAAGATTTGGCGAGACATGGGTATACGTTCGAATTACATCCACAATCGGTTGGAAAACGCACTTACTTACCTCCGAGCTTGTCATACTCTATCAAAGAAAGAAAAGAGAAGCTTTTGTGAGTGTTTACATGAGGTCAAAGTGTCACAAGGATACTCCTCAAATGTTAAGAGTCTTGTGTCTATGCAAGAGTTGAAATTAGTTGGTTTAAAGTCTCATGATTGTCATGTGTTGATGCAACAACTTTTACCGGTGGCTATTCGAAACATCTTACCAACTTCGTTAGAATTGCTATTACTCGGTTATGTTTGTTTTTCAACGCCATTTGTAAAAAGGTAATTGATCCAAAAAAGTTAGATGAATTAGAAAATGAAGCAATTGTAATAGTGTGTCGAGTTAGAAATGTATTTTCCCCCTTCATTTTTTGATATCATGGTGCATTTGATAGTCCATTTGGTAAGGGAAATTCGGTTATGTGGTCCAATTTTTCTTAGATGGATGTATCCTGTTGAGAGATACATGAAGATCTTAAAAGGATATGTGAAGAATCGAGTACAGGCCAGAAGCTTCTATTGTGGAAAGGTACATTGCGAGAAGAAGCCATTGAGTTTTGTCAAGGATACATGTCAAAATCAGAACCAATAGGTATTCCTAAGATGAGACATGATGGAAGATGTGAAGGTAAGGGTACTCGAAATTTGAAGATTAAAAATGTTAGTCGGAAAGAAGTTGACCAAGCACATTTATACATATTGAACAACAACGATGAAGTAATCCCTTACATATCATGACACATAAGCTGAAATAAAGGCGACACATCCACGAATGAATGAAAAATGGGTATTGAATGAACATAACAAAAGTTTCCTTTCTTGGTTTAAAAAAGGGTATATGTTGAGATTAATGCTTCGAAACACTTTTGACACTTGCTCGTGGGCCTAATAGTGATGTCATTACATTTGGTGGGTATGACATTAATAACTATTGTTTCTACTCAAAAATAGAAGATGATAAAGGTAGAGTACAAAATAGTGGGGTCACAATTCAAAGTTGAATCTATGCATTTTTCTAGTTCTAAAGACAAAAATCCTATCACAGCTTCTATGAGTTATTTTGGGGTCATACAAGAGATATGGGAAATTGATTATGTTACTTTTAGGGTGCTTGTCTTCAAGTGTAAATGGGTTGAAGGGAATACGGGTGTGCGAACAGATGACCTAGGATTTACTTTGGTTGATTTGAGTAAAGTTGGGTATAAGGATGAACCTTTTATTTTGGCATATCAAGCGAGACAAATATTTTATGTCAAGGATCCATGTAATGAGAGATGGTCAATTGTCCTAGAAGGAAGAAACATGCACGGAATTCATGAAGATGAGTCTCTAGATATACATGAAACACCTTCATTTTCAAGTAGACCATTTGATGACATAGTTGACAATGAAGTTGATGACATACATGCAATTCGAAGTGATCATGATGAAGGGATATGGGAAAACATACCAACATAATAGGTGTTTATCTTCACATTTTATAGTTCTTTTTATTCAAACTTATAAAGTATGTTGACTTCATATTGTTTTGTTTTTCGGGATATGTCGGATTCCACAGCTGGTACTCGGTAGTGGTAGTGGCGGTGGCGAGGAGCGGAAGTGGTGATAAAGGTAGATCCGTCACTCGGTTAAAGGGGTTGACAGCAAGGAGGGTAGCTAGAGAGAAAACTCAAGTTGAAGTTGATTCACGTTACGGTAAGGCATCCGGCCCAAATGCTTGCTAAGTTTAAGAGCTATTTGGGACTACTAGCTCGACACCATGTTCCAATTACTACTCCATCTTGGGATGATGTTGAGGAAAGCGAGAAGAACCTCATGTGGCGGGATGTTCAGGTATTTCTATATGTGTTGAATACTTTATATATCATTATTAATTGAATTTAACATTTATTGGTCATTTCACGACAAAATTTTGATGTTCCTAACATCGAGGTGATGAGGAAGAAGATTTTATCCTCCATTGCCATTAGATGGAGGGACTTTAAGACTTTCTTGACACGGGAGTATGTATTTGGAAAGTTTCGAGATGAATCTCCCTGTCTAAAGTATCAAATTAGTGAGGATGATTGGTTACGAGTTTTGTGCTAGCCGAATGGACCCCTCTTGGCGGGATAAAAGACAAGCTGCCCAACAACGTTAGAGGTTGAATGATGCACCCCATGTATTGTCACGAGGAGGGTATGCATTATTGGAGCAACGTCTCATGAAATCCGAGAGAAGAGTCGGCAGGAGTTGATTCTACCGACCTTGCATCTCCACCCCTCGCTATCGGATGTGGAAGGCGGCCGGACAAAATCGATGGACAAATGACTTCGAGTCCGCACGAATCATTGCTCGAGAAAATCGTAAGTTATAATGTCAATTTGAATTGATTCTAATTTGAAAGTTAGTGTATGACTTAATTATTGTTAATGTGTTGTAGGATGATTTAGTTGAACAGACCGACCAAGGATCATTTATTCCTCATGGTCGACAAGATATATTGGCGACGGCCATAGGAAAACCCAGATTACTCGGGACGTGTGCGTGGTGTCTGGTGGAACACTGGGGCCTTCGTGATTACTTTGGTCCAACATCAAGAAGGACCACTGCGCGACTCTTGCGGCCAGGAGGCCTTGCATAAAATGGAGATGCAGTTTGAAGAAAAGTTAAATCAAATAAGGCGAGTCCTTGCAACAAGAGTTTGATGAGAAAATTGAATCTCTCGCCCGCTCTCGACGAACGAGACTCAAGGAACACCTCAAACAATTGAACATGATCTTGTTCGAGTCGGCACTAAAGGGAGTTGTGCTTGCTACTACCGTTGATCCTTCAGGAGAATATACTCGGATCGATGCATCACACCGAGTGTGAGTTATATGTTGAAGATGACCCCCCGCGTCTAGTGGCTGTTGGTCGAGTTTTTGAGGGTGGCATAACCATCCATGGTGTCCCTCTACAGTCAGACTGGACACGAGTAGTAGTTGATGAAGTTCATGATGCTAATGCTTCAGTGCCTTTTCCTAATGAAGAGATTCAATTAGTGGGGCAGGCAAGCAGGACATTCTTGGCTTGGCCAAGACGTTTGGTTATGCCACTATCAGCACATACCAAGGTAATATATATATATATATATATATATATATATATATATACATATTGTCTATTTACTCTTTTCTAGTATTATAATTATATAAATGTTTAATTAATTGTTATCATTTGTTTAGGAGGACTTGCGTCGTGCTAAGCATAAAAAACAACCTATTATTGATGAGGATCCGACGGAATGTGATGATGATCCCATCTCTATGTTGTTAAGCACGTATTACCACGGTTGAGGAAGAGACACGTGTCGGATACTAATGGGATGTTAGAGTGTTTGGAATTGACAATTCCGGTGTTCCATTGTACATTTCCTTGCCCGATGCTTTAGAAATTGCTTGGGGAAATTGCATGTTAAACATTTCCATCATACAATTGTGGGCAATGTAAGTCATTTTCATTTATGTTTCTAAGATTATAATAATTATATTCAACTTATAATTAATTGTTTTAGGTACCTTGACAATTTGAGTGTGGAACAAGAAAAATCCGAAGTATACAGATTTATTGAGCCTCAATCCATCCAAAAATCTGGAAATACAAAGGTTGGAATCCAACAATATATGCAAACATGGATGAGTGACTCAAGAAGACATATATATTTGGCTCCATACATTGAAGGGTTAGTATTTTAATTTATATTTTTGTAACTAATTTTTATGTCATACAATGTAGGTCCCATTGGCGAGTTAATTGTAATCATGCCCCGGGATTACACTCGTGGTGTGGTTTTGTTCATTACATCTGAAACCGAGTCAAGAAATGAAAAGTTTATTACAAGGGTAACTTTATCTTTTATTCATTAATTATGTTTTTAAATTGTGAATACATATTGAATAATATATGACTTTTTTTCACTTAGAATCGTGTGCTGGATCTAATGTTCTAAGTGGAAAACCTAGAACAAAGACTTTGCAGTTCATTTATCCTAAGGTTAGAAACTTATTTATATAAGTGAATACCATAATTATTGTTTGTATTTCAATTTTGAAAATAATATTATGTTTTTTTCATCATTTTAGTGTAATAAGCAAACTGACTTGTTTGAATGTGGTTACTATGTAATGTATTGGATGAGAGTCATAGTTTGTGCGGGTTTAATTGATTCTTGGACTGAGGTAATTACTTTTAACATTAGTTAAGTTTATTTAACTTTATTCATGTTGCATGCTTACAAGAGTCAAATTCATGTTTCGGTATTTCAAGATCCATCTCCATTACTGGAATCCGAGATTACGAAATTAGAGAACAATGGGCAAAATTTTTTATTCAACAATTCTAGTACATTATTTTTTAAGTTCTTGTTCATATTATATTGTGTGTATTATGTAGTTTAGTTTAGTTTGTATAGGTAGCTTAGTTTGTATAGGTAGCTTAGTTTGTAATAGATTTTTTAGTTTGTATGTTTGTATTATATTGTTTTATTATGTAGTTTGAATTATATAATATTATATTTTTAATTTACTAGCTAAAGAAAACTGAATCTCTTGATCGTTTGGTTGTAATATTTGCGGGTTTTAGTTGTAAAACGAATAAATAAACCCAATTTAAAAAACAAGAAATTTACGTCGCATATGGTATACGCGACGCAAATTTTCTTGTTTTTTTTTAAATTGAAAAAGTTTTTACGTCTCGTTTAGTGTAAATCTACGTCGGATCTTGATAACCGACGTAAATCTATGACGGCAAAAGATCCGACGTAAATTTACGTCTCCCGCTTTAACGTCGGACTTAAATACGACGTAAAAAACCCTAAATACCTTACGTAAAGCCCTTTTTGCACTAATGTTTTTAGGGAAAAATACGAGATTGGTCCAATTTTATATTTTAATTACCGAAAGTAGTGATTTATTGGATTATATATTTTCTTTTAAATCGCGACACATGACTTCAGCATCAAAGTCTAGCACGACTTTACTATTATTTTTCTCATAAATTGTGCTTTAGTTGTTTTTTTTTTATTTTGTTAAAAATTAATAAATTATATTTTGTAATAAAAAATAAAATGTAAGAATATTTAAAAACAAAATATATTAATATTAAAAATAAGTTATTACAAAATATTATTGTCTATATGAACAAATACTATGATTATCATCCACGATTTAAAAAAATAACAATTTGTGTTACATAACACAATTTCAATACTAAAGTTGAGTCATCTGGCACAATTTATTGATAAAAAGAAAAATTAAACAGGATTTATCCTTTTAAAATCATCCTCAAGACACAATTTATCCAATTTTTATCATTTTTTTTAAAAACATGTACTCACTTTGTTATAAATAATCTATTTATTATAAAAATGAATCACATCATTTCATTTTATACATAATTAATAATTTTTTATTTCTTAAATTACCATTGTAAGAAAATTTTCAAAAATATCTTTTAAATTAATTCAAAAAATTGTTTTTTAACTTTTTTAAAATATAATTTAACTTTTTATATTTTTTTTCATTATATTTTATGGATGGGTTAAAATATCCATTGATGAAAAAAATATATTAATATTGGATCAGATTTAATTAGTCAATTTTTAATAAATAAAAATGTATCAACTATTACTTTTTTACTAATCTATTATAATTCGAAATATTTTTCATCAAATCCATCCATTTGCACCATGTAAGCTAACTAGTTGATGTATCTATAGACTATAATACATCAAATTAAAAATTAAACTTAAATTTAAATTCCAAAAAAAAATTAAGCATCTAATTAAAATTTGTCAAATAGTTACCTTCGAAGTAATCAAGGGGCGTTTACTTCCTATTTCAATTTTCTATTTTTTTTTCAGTTTGACAAAAAAAAAGTATTAATTTAAATACTAAAATAAAAAAAGGACCTAATTAGAAATTGTCAAACAGTTACGTACGAAGTAATTAAGGGGGCGTTTACTTCATAGTTAAAAAAAATCATATGCTTCTTGTTTGCAAAATTTTGTGAGAAAATGAAAAAAAAAATTAGTTTTAAAACTCACTTTCTCTTAAAAAAGAACAAATAAAGAAGATAAATGATTTTTTTTATTATTTTTATGTTTAAATTAGTTTATAATCCATCAAATTTATTTTTACTTTTTACTCTGTAGAATTAAAATTTGATATTTTTAATCTAAGCAATTAAAAAAAAAAAAGAAAAAAAAGTTTATTTTAGTCCTTTGTCCAAATTTCTTATACCTAAAATTTTTGAAAATAAATATTTTGAACGGAAAATTAATATTATATATTTAATGATAAAAGTGAAAAAAACAGTGGATATAAACCACGCGTCATTGTTAATAATTTAAATAAAATCTTTAATAATATTTAAGACAAAGATACTAAAGCAAATATTTTTTTAAAATTAAACAAATTGAAAAAAAATTAAAATATGAAAAAATATATTTATTCACAAATTTGATAAACTATTTTTTTTTTAGTTTAAACCTTTTTTTTTATATATTTCTATTTAAAAATAATTACAAAAAAATTATCCTGAGAATAGGTTGTGGATGCCCATGTTGAGGGCGAGAGTTCACGTGTCTACCGTATTTTCTTCCATCATCAGTCATTGCGTGAGCACGAAGCTTAACCTTTCTCGTTCTTCGATGGCCGCGTCGTCCTCTATTCGAATCGCCGTCGTCGGTGACGTGGTAGAGTAGCCTCTTCCCTCTTTCCAACCTAAGATTTTGCTTCTCATCCGTGTTTGTTAATTTTGGGACAATTTCCATCACCTAATTTTGGGGTTTTCTGAAGCATGATTACTGGAACTTTGAACAAGATTCCAAAGCGCTTGAGTTCTTGCAGGTACTCTTCTCCTTTCCGCTTGCTTCCATTTTTGTTCCCTGATGATGAAAAAGTTTATGCATATACTGATTGATTATATTCTGCTGCCAACCCACGTGCCATTTGATCAATCCTCGGTGCGGTGGGGTTCTGTGGTCTATGTTCCCTTTCCTATTATTCTCTATCCCAAAATGTATACATTGTACTATTTAAGATTTTAAAAGATAGTTATGATAAAAAAAATGGTGTTATATACCAGAATAATAATTTTGGTTACCCCAGAGAAAGGAAAAAAGGAAATGAGGCTGCTAAGCTTTCATAGGAAAGTGATTGTCACTTATTTGCTATCATTATTCTGGTCTTGGTTCTTAATAAACCTTATTTAGAAATTTTATTATGCTAAAGCTGATGTAACCCGTGCAGGGATTCTTACTTCCAAACCCCTTAAACACAGATACTTTATAGAGCTTGCTAAAATGGATGGATGTCTCTATCATCTGCTGCAGATTACAAAATTGGTTGTATGTAGATACACTTTGACAGCAGAGCATGACTATTCGTGTTAGGGGAGCCAAATAATATATATATTATTAATAAATAATAAATAAATATAAAAGGGTAAAAAAAGATAAAAGGGTAAGAGAATAAAATTGTAAATAAATAAATATATTAAATTATCATTATATTTGAAAGTTCAAAATCATAAATTAAATGAAAATTAGAAAATTAAGAAGAGACGGAGAAGATAAAATTATAAATATATTAAAATGATAATTAAGTTTTGAGGGATCAAAATCGTAAAGGGACTTACAAAACTTTGGGTCCTGTTTACAAAATTCCAACTGTTTTTGAGAACTTTTATATATATATATATATATGAAGCATTTCTTACTTGTATCCAAACAAACCCATTTTTCAGGTTAACTTTATGTTTGATCAAAGTACAAATATTCTTAAATTCCTGTTTTCTGCCACCTGGCCATAGAACAAGTAATAACAATCGAATGTGATCGGGTTGAGGTTGGTTTCATTCCCATCTAAATCAAAATAATAAATAAACAGAAAACCCTGGAGTCTAAGAGTCACTTGTTGTAATCATAAAATATGGTAAACTGCTAAAATGAACTGGCTAATAGCTCCTCGATGTAGAAAGGTTGTGAAAGAAATAATGTAAGATTAAAGCTTGGTTAGAGATTGGTAACAAAATGATAAAGGAAAAATATAAGCATTTAAAACTAGAGGAATCAAAATAAGAAGTAAGAATACAAATTTCTTGTCCTTTTTGCTTGGCATGAAATAAACCGGGGAAAGAAAATAAAGAGAAAATTGTGATATTGCATATTCATCTGTCATTGATTTTCATTAAGTTGATGAAAGTACGTAATGTGCAATATTATAAACATGTTTTCCTATTTCTGGTCTATCAATCTAATCTAGTCCTATATTGAAGTGCAGCCAGATTTGGTGCTGTTTACAGGCAAGTTTCACTGTTACTGCCGCTCAACCTATCACACTACGGTGATTATTCTTAAATGAATTTAAGTGCCTTTCCTTCCTCTATGCCTATTTTAATTGTTATGGAAATAGCTGGTATACACCTATGAAAAATCAGTGTCCATGTTGAAAATAGAATGCCATGGAATTGATCTGTTTAACTTCTAAATAACCTAGGAGTATGATTTGCACTAATAGCCACAAATCAGCATGTGCCAAGTTTATGGCCTGTTAATTAATATTTGTTGTATAACTGTTATGATTTATAATGATTAATTTGTTATATGATTTCTTTCTCAATTACTGTTCCATCCTTTTTCAATTGTTGCATTCAATCTTGTTAGGTGATTTTGGTGATGAAAATGTTGAAGTGGTTCAGAATGTTGCTAATCTTGAATTCGCCAAAGCAGTTATATTGGGGAATCACGATGCCTGGTTTACTAAACAGTTTTCTGGAAGGTGAATTTTACATATTTGTCCTGGAATTATTCTGTCTGTTTGTGGTTTCATATACTCTGGAAAGGTTCATGTTGTTAGATTATTCCAGAAGACTTTATATAATTTCATTTTGAATCAAGACAGAAAGCTAAGTGTATGTGTACAGTACATCTTTTATGTCTCACCACCCTGATTAAAACATGCAAATGCACACACACAAAGACAATCCCATCTGTCCAATCGTTTTGGTAGTTCAAGTTTTTTAGTTTGTCAAAAATATAATTTGTTTGAAGTTTGTTATGTGCCCAGTAGGTGCTAGTTGTGAATACTAATTTCTATTCCAATTGTAAACTAACACTTTCATTCAAATATTAGCGAGGAGAAGGATAAAGTTCAGCTTCAGCTAGAATGGTAAGCTTATTATCTATAAGGATTCAATTTATTCTGGGAAAACTTTCTCTGATCTGTTAACGTGACTTTGTGCATTTCAAAATCTTATGAATTTACTTATGACAAAAACGAATTTGTTGTTTCTGTTGGTATGCTTATATAATGCTCTATGTGTGAATGAACTCGTTCACAGGTTTATCAAAAGAAAATGGGCTATTTTTCATTGTCCATTAAAGGTTTAAAAAAATAATTTTAAAATCTATGATGAATTTTTTATTGTGGCAGAAACTTGTCAAGTCTAGAGAAGTTACCAATTACTGAAAGGAAAGTTGATTACTTCAGAGTTCATATTGACTCCTTTCTCAGCTTAGTTCTTTTTCCCCAATCCCTACCATGGTCAATTTCCATGAGTTTACTTATAAGGCTTTTATTATTTGATGGAGATCCTTAGAAAATTTACTGAAAAATGAATCTATCAATAAAAATTCAGCCTTGGTAAGGAGCACGTGGCTTATCGGCGTTCAGACTTCCCTCAAATAAAAGTAAGCGTTGTTGGTGGACGGCCATTTTCTTGTGGGGGTAAACCACTTTTCCGGAGAAAACTTCTTTCTGCAAGGTATTTATTGTACTGAAGTAATCACAGACAAGTTGACTCTCAAAAGGCCCAAAATGTATTTAATATCTTTAGCTTTCCACCTTAGTTTCTAATGCCTACAAAAAGAGTTAAGTTCACCGATCACCATCTTGCTCTAATTACATTACCACTTTGAAAGAATGTTGCACGATCTTTCCTAGAGTTAGTCATAGTGTTATCTTTTGATGCTCTTAATGTATTTCTCTTGCCCAATCTTGCCTTGTCTCGTTTAATTATCCATTATTGTGACAACACGTAATCCACAATAAAAGTAGGGTTAGATGGCTTCTTTTGATTTGTCTAGGAGATCATATATGTGGTATTTTATTATTACTAGAATCGCCATTGTAGCTCAAAATCAATTTATCAATTGAGCTTTGTCATAGATATGGAGTCAAAGACATGGATGGGAGTGCTAAGAGAATCCAGAAAGCTGCTCTTGGAACACCAGAGGATCATTTTCTTATATTACTTGCACATAATGGGCCCGCAGGTGCAACACGGCATTTCAATTTTATTATCAGCCCTGGTGGTGCTAGTCTATCAAATTTAATCTACAGCATGATGTTTGAATTTTAATTTTGTATAGGCCTTGGTTCTGATTTGAATGATATATGTGGAAAGGATTGGGAATTTGATGGTGATGGTGATCATGGTGACCCAGGTAATGCATATACTTCATAGCTTAGATTGTTATTAAAATATTATCTTTTTGCAGTTTTGGCATTCAGCAATAATGTCAACTGTCAAGGCCGTTGGTTGACCTGTATGTTCTTCTGAATATTTTTTTTTTTTTTTCATTTCAAATGCTTGTGTATGTTCTTCTCAATAATCGTTAGTTTTGGTGGACCTGTCTGTACCTTAAGATGCCAATTGCCAAGAGTGATGTAGATAATGCAAACATTGTAAAAATGAGATACAGTTTTTAACCTTGTTTAATATGTTTATATGACAGATCTAGCACACGCAATATCCTTGTTAAAAGAGAACAATCAAGTATCAATTCCCTTGGTTGTGTTCGGTCACATGCACAAAAAGCTGGCATATGGCAATGGCTTTAGGAAAATGATTGTGGTAGGCGCTGATAACACCATATACTTGAATGGGGCAATTGTTCCTAGGGTCAAAAGGTTGGATGATGAAGACAAGAGAAGCTTAGACGATGAAAGTGCCCTTTCCTCATCAGAGGCAAAAGGTAGTAGAAGGGCCTTTACTTTAGTTGAGATTTCGGAAGGAAGAGTTACTAAGATTGCAGAAAGTTGGGTCTCAGTTGTCGAAGCTAGGACCACATTAGAAGAAGAGCACATACTATTTGAGGGCAGCTAGGATCCTCATCCTCCACATTAAGGTTCCTGCCTTAGTCACATGGATTTTAATGCGAAGATAAATACAGCCAGGGTTAAAATATGCCTCGATACTGATTCCTTATCCCGATGAATACATAGTATTTAATGTTATTGTTAATGACTACTGTATAGACTTGACAAATGGCGTATGCTCTGATACTAATTCCTTTATCTAGCTGGTGTGATTTTTTTTTTGTACCTATCCAATTTTTGTGGCAATTCAAATGTGAAGGGTTCGTGTCATTATTTTCTTTCTAGCATAGAGGACTAGACTCCTAATTATTTTTGGTTGTCCTTGCACATTTGGATTCATGTTGAATGATATGGGTGGGTCTATTGGATTACCCAGGCTGTTCCATTTGCCGTCCTGGTGCCTATTCGTTTTAACCTGGCACTGTCTGCATGTGGTGCCATTGTATTGCCCAAATTTTACTCCCTTCTGCAAGCACTGTACACGGATTCTGCAGCTGATAGGTTTGGAGTACATCATATTTACGTTTGCCTCTTTTCTTTATCTGGACCCAACGAAAATTGCAGTGCTTTGGCAGATGGTTGTGATCCCATTTGGTCATGAAATGCCTCCCCTGACTTTTTAGCTCCAAAGTAAAAGGTTAAAGAGGCTGTGATACTGAAGGTTGACCAAACTTTTAATGATTTGATGCTGGCTTGTTTCCTCTTTTTATTAATTTTTTTCTTTTGACAAGTTAAGAAAAAGTTTCACTCACATGTAAGAAATTATCCATTTCCTAGACTTCTTCGATTAACCTTGCTATTGGTGAATGACATATTACACGAATACCACTTACAATCATATTATATAGATTCCTTAATTTTCTATGTCATTTGTCAACACTAACCAAGCATCTTTCCTTCTATATAATAATCTCTTTTTAAAGCTTTCCATTCTGCAAAAGTGTGCAGTAATATTGTTTGGCACTGTCTTTTCTGTCTTGCTTTCTTTAAGTTTTGGTGCACCGAATTCCAAGCAGTCTATGGGCTGTTTTTGACTCGTCCGGTTTCTTTACAGCCATTGGATAACAGAAAATAAAGTGAAAAAGCAAGCTTTTAAAGTAACTCTAAACACTTTCCTTGGTAAAACATTGCCGTTGATTCTGACCGTGCTATAAATTGCTAATGACTTTATTGTAAAATCTTAGTGCACCATTTTATAATTGCGTGGTGAATGTGACAGCAAATACCCCACCCTATTGGCCTTATTTCATTGTCTATACATATTTGATAGAGAACTCTGATTCATTGATATCTACTTGCTTCTCCTCAAAATTTTATCATAGAATTAACATTATTCCTTCATTTATTAGCATTCCTACTTTTCTACCCCAGAGGACCCTCCTCTTAAAGATTAGTCAATTAAGCTTCTCGTCACCTACCTATCTAGTTTTTCTACCATAAAGCCAACATTTTGGTCCATTTAATATTTCCATTTTTTTCACAACTCATTTATTTTTCTAACTTAGCCTAAGGTCTTCTTCATACAGGGCCTTCAAACTTGCAACTTTCTATCTCCATACTAATGCGTACTTTATTTTGCTTCGTCCTCCTCATAATTAGACAATTGCATTAACATTCTGAATTTCATACATCATATTTTGTTTCATTAATTTTAGAGTTGGCACGATAGCCTTTATAAGGGAGAAATATATAGGTCTGCATATGTCTAACTCTTCCAAGCATAAAACAATATTAATTGAGCCACAGCTACATGATTTTCTAGCCATGCACACTGTGTATTCGAATCCTTCAATTTTCAAAAAATACTTTAAAAGGTTGAACATGGTTAAATAATTGTTGACGAAGAATAATGCCATAATTTATCCCACCCAACCTTAGGAGTAAATATAGAACTTGCTCATTATGTCAAAGCAGGTTCCTAACAGCATGTACTAAGTTACCATAAAAAGGATTAGTTTGGTAATTATGAAACAACATAAGAAGAATTTGGTTTAAAATTCAGCACTCTTTTTCTTTTTTTTGTTAGGCATGTTGAAAAGTTATAACGAATATTTAAGTTTGTCCACTGATACATAACTAATAAATTATTATCAATCCACTAAAAACAAATAAATCATGCATATAGTTGAAAAGTAAATTCCATATCTCAAGATATGTTTAAATTATACCATTCTTTATTCTTATTTTAAAACCATACTTTTCTTCTTTAAAATGTTAATATATATTATAAATTAACTTATTTTAATGTAAGCAAACGTTTTAGACTAAGAAATTTCCTCCTTTAGTATTTTTCAGCATTAATGTTAGATAACCTTTAATCTTTAAAACTTGATATGACAGTATGAATCTTAATGGACCAACATGAGAGATATTAAAAAAATGAAGTATGATGCAGAAGAATCTAAAAGAGGAATATATAATATAATTGAAATAAGTATTTGTGAAGAGAACAAATTGTATAGTTCTGAAAAGAAAAAGATAAACATAGAATGTCTTCTCTGACATTTTTGACCCCTTCTTCTGTCACAGTTGGCCCTCTACTTTTGAAGATCCTCTGCTACCTTTGACCGAATCTAGACCCTCTATGACTATCTTTCCTTCTCCATCATGTTAACCACAACTCCCACAATGTTTCAACAAAGATAATATTTTAATAAAATTATTTTAACTGTTTTTTGTGTTCATCAAAACATTATAATATTACAGAATGTTCCAACTACGCTTATGTTTTACCACACGTAAGCTGGCTTAAAAGTTCATATTTGTTCTTTTCTCGAATCATATATTTTTCATTAATAAAATGCCAACCCAACTTCGTAGTGTTCGCAATCTGTCACAAGAACAATGTTTAGCTGTCGACAACGTATTCTTTCTCATAACTTTGCTAAAAAAAAAAAATTAGACCTTTATTCTAAAATAGTGTTCATTCATATTCATCGATCTAAACAACTCATTCATAATGTTAATTGTTCCTCTTATTGTTTCTGTATCTCAACTGTAGGAGAGACATTAAAGGAAATGAAAATGAAACGCAGTAATAGATTGTTGGGAAATCATTATTTGATTTAGTCTTATCCTCATCTCCATTGTCGTATTACATTTCCATACCAAACCCCAAACATTGCTCCTAAATGACATGGACCCACCCAAACACATTTCAAGTCATAATCTTTGAAGGGCAAGTTTGTCTTTTCATTATAGTACCCTAAGTTAGAGGTAAGTGACTTCACAAATAGACTGCATCTAGTTTTTCATAACACAATCCACTATCATCTAATTAACTTAAATAGTTATATGTATTTCAAATGTGTGCTTAAATTAATAATAAATATTTATGTATATTGAATAATTTTTTTGTTAAAAACACGAAAATTAATTAATTTGTAAAATAAAAACAAACATTCGTTCTTGGAACTAAAAATATGTATTTAATGTCTCAAAATATTTTGTTTTTCACAATTTCTAGTTCACATTCAGGTAGTCTATTTTTTAAAATATATACTTAAATATATAATATATAATTGATTTCTATTTTAAGTATCTAATATTTCATTTTTACTATTATGTTGATTTTTTTAATTAATTGTTGAAATGTTTTTAAATTTTCCTTTCCGTCGATTTATTTTTATTATAATAATTTCCATGGTTTTTATTATATTAATTATAGTTACAAATAATAAAAGAGACTTAATTACATGTGATTAATATAATAGATGCAGATAATAGAAAATATTTAAGCTAAAATGATTAATTTATTAAATACCAAAAGTGAAAACGACATTAAATTGATACTCAATACAAAAATTAATCACTGGAGACCTAAAATTTATTTAAATTTTTAGAATAAAGTGATACCTTTATACTCTTTACAATATGTATGAAATAAAGTGAGGTAGTCAAAGAAAAAAAAGATAGAGAGATAACAGTGGTACTAAATGTACTGTGTATAAAGAAATAAATGAGAAGGAAAATAAAACGAATTTTTTTATTAACAAAATACAAAATAAAATAAAATAGTTTATATTATTAATATATAATAAAAAAACTGCAAAAAGACATAATTAATTATGTTTAACGTAAATAGAACAAAATAATGTTATTTTCTTTAATTATAAAATGGCAAGACAATTGTTTAACGTTCGCAATTTATTTAAGCCTTTAAAATAAAGTTATATTTTTATGTATATTTAGTAGAGATGAAAACAGAGAAAAAAATAGAAGGAAAAAACGAATGTCGATAAATAAAAAAGAAATAAATGAAAATAGAGATAATTTGGTTTAAAAATAATAAGTAAAAAAATTGAAATGAATATTTTTATTATTGAATTAAAAAAATATTTTTTAAATATTTCATTTTTTATTATCACAATTATCATAACAAAATTAAACAAGAAAAAAATAATAACAATTAATTATGTATATTTATTTTCAATAATTAATAAGCTAATTAATTATGTTATATTTCTTCTTAATGTTGATTAATTTCTCTTTATTTTAAAGTAAAAAAGGTTTTTTTTTTCTCTCATTTCCACTCAATTAAACCATCATCATTTCTCTAAAAGGTAGGTTAATAGCTGTTTCATACATAAACTTGGCGAAAAAGTCCCATCTTTGATTAAAAGATTCAAATATAGAACCACCTGTATTTGTTTATAACCTAAAATGAATGATGTGCCCTTCACAAGCAAAAAAACCATTAAATTTTGGAAAAACATATAACATTAAGTATCAATTATAAAGATTATAACATTCAAGAAATAAGGAGAATTTAATATTTTTGTTTTCTGGTGTGAGGTGGGCTTTATGACTATTGAATAAGAAGACATGAGAAATATATGGTTTAATTCAAGTGAATCGAATAAATTATTCAAAATCATGTTTTTTTTTATTTACTATATTTACACTAATTATTACTGGGAAATTATTTACAGAAAGTTAAAATTTTGTCACATTAAGGCATATAAGATGCATGAAAACGAGAACATCTGTACTGTGAAAAATAATTAATTTATGGAGGCTTAAATATAATTTTATTTCCTGCAAATAAATTTTCATAAATAAATTTGAAATTATTTTTTTAGTTTTTATAAAATGTGAATTTTGGTTTTAATTTTCTTAAAAAATCATTATTTTAAAACTGAAATGATTAATTTTAATTCCTATTATATATTTCAGGGTAGCAAATAATGTATATTTTACAAAACCTTAAATATTACATTATTAATAAGGGTTATTTGAAATAATGACATGATTTTTTTTTTCATATCATAAATAGTTAAAAAATATCACACAATCCTATGTATAAAGATAAGCAGTTTTCAATATTGAAGGAAAATCATGGTTATATTTTATAAGAAGTGAAAAGATATTTAAGCATTTAATTAATTAATTGAATTGAATTGTTGTATGATAATTGAATTTGAGAGAGGTGAAAGGGTGAGAGAGAAAGAAGAAGGAAAAGATGAATGGTCCTGCAACAGCATTTCCAGCTCACCCGCTTAGGTCGGATCTATTTTCTGCCACTCTTCTTCACTTTCCTCACATCACCACCCACCTCCAACTCCATCGACAACAACTTTCCATAATCCCAACTAACACACCACAACACAACTCACCTCAACATTCTCTTCATCTTCCTCTCACTCTTCCTCCAACAGAACCCTGTTTTTCAAAACTAAACTCAAACAAACACAAAAAAAGCGCACCTTTTTTTTATAATTATTTTTTTCTTCATTCTCGCTCATAAAATAAAAGAAACAAGAAGTGCCCACAAAACCAAATCACCAATTTTCTGCTGCGTTGGTTCATGCTGAAGTTAAATGGGCAATGTCACGGGAACAGTGGCTGCAAAGTTCGCGTTTTTCCCGCCAGAGCCTCCGACTTACGACGTTTGCCAAGAGGGGGATGGGAGGGTGGTGTTGTCGGGTGTCACCGCCGACAAAAATGTCGACGTTCACATTCTCGACACCAAGGGTGGCAACAAGATCGTTGCCACCTTCTGGAAACACCCTTTTGCCCGCTTCACTTTCTTGTACTCTCACGGAAATGCCGCTGACTTGGGTCAGATGCACGACCTCTTCATTGAGCTCAGAGCTCACCTCCGTGTCAACATCATGAGGTCAATCAAAGCCACCCCTTCTTTCATCTCTTCCAATTTGTTCTGGTTTTTCTTTTGAATGGAAAGTGCGGCTTTGCACATCGCTTTCTTATGTTTGTGTGTTCTGAGGTCTATGTTCTCTATCCCCGCCAAAAAAAAATGTGTTTTGACTATTCGATTAAAGAGAAAGATGCTTCGTATCTGATATAGATGATAATTGTGTTATGTCTTAATCTTGCGCAAAACTTGTTGCTCTTTTACTCTGTATGTAAGCTCGTGCATGATAATATATATATTTGTTTCACTTCCATAAAAAAAAAATGTTCTTTTTTTAATTTTGCTTGATTTGACAACTTACTTAAGGTTCTAGTTCAGAAAACATTTGTGAACAGAAGCTCTTTCTGAAATTTGTTTCAACTTTGTTTTATGTCTGCAGCTATGACTATTCAGGATATGGAGCATCTACAGGTAAGGTATGTAATCGCTGGTTTCCTTTTCCGCTTTTGTTCTGTAGTGGTTGCTCACTGTTTCCAAATAAAGCTTCTTGGGGCTTTTTAATTTATCTCCATATAACATGGCTGGGGAGTGTATAAGTTTTGTAACAAGGTTATGAAAATTCCCATTCGAATTGTTTTTCTTCAAATAAATACGCTGCCAATCTAACTAATGTTTTTGTTGTCCTATCTTTCAGCCATCGGAGTTCAACACGTATTACGACATAGAGGCTGTATATAATTGTTTGAAGAGCGAGTATGGAATTAAGCAAGACGAATTGATTTTGTACGGTCAATCGGTTGGAAGTGGACCTACACTGCACTTGGCTTCTAAGTTGCAGAAATTGAGAGGTGTTGTTCTTCACAGTGCCATCCTTTCGGGGATAAGGGTCTTGTACCCTGTCAAGATGACATTTTGGTTTGACATATTTAAAGTAAGTTTTACCTCAGTTCTTCATAATCCTTACTCTACTCTAATCTTTTCTCCTGAGCTTTGTAGTAACGAAATTCTCGTTTAATGTTTCAGAATATAGACAAAATTCGACATGTCAACTGTCCAGTTTTTGTTATACATGTAAGTATATATTTTCATCCATGTTTTTAATCAACTTCTGCACCTGCTATTTCTTTTCGTCCTCAAAATAGATCAACAACTTTTCTTTTGAGCTTCTATTTTGAAGTGATTTTCTTTGTTGTTTTCCTAGCTCTCGCAATGACTTTGTTCATATAGAAGCTTGGCTCAGCCCTGAATTAAAATAAAATGACTGATACTGCAGATTTATCCTAGTCAAATAATCATTTACTTAAAACACACTTCTTCTTTTATTATGAAAAACATTGCAAGTGTCAATAATCGAATGTTTGATTGCTAACATTACACGGCGCAAGGAGATTCTGATGTCTTGACCCTTAAAAGTAATAAAGCAGATTAGTTATTAATGCAAAGCGCAACAGATTTTGGGGAAAAAAATTGAAACAACAACAAAAAACAGTTTGTACCATTCCCTATTTTCGTTGTATTACTCTATTTTTACTTGTTGACTTGAATTTCCGAGAGCAATCTGCACTCCGAAGACAGATATAAAATAGGGAAAATGATGTTCAATATGATGTGCATGTTCAATAACTTGATACTCTGATTACATAGGAATGTTTGCATGTATTGTATTATCAGATTTTTATCCATCTAAGCATAAGTATATACTATATGAATTGTGCTTTTTCCAAATTCTTCTTCCATTATGTTTACGATCTATTTTATTTCTTGAGTATGCCGTTATGCTGGTTGTTTCCCTCTGATATAGAACCTGGAAATACCCTGCACCCGTTGTCCAAACCAGGAGTATTACAAAGATATTAAAATTTAACAAATATTCGGTATTTCTGCGTTTCTACATGTCTCCTTTCTATTGTTTATATCGATAGAACAGGTAACTGGACTTATTTTGTGCTGTTACAGAACTAAAGATGATTGAAGAGTGTTTGTTTTTTTGGGTTTGCAAACCTTGTTGGTTTTCTGATATTCAGTAATGGATGCTTGTTCCATGTGACTAATGAAGAAACTATATTGTGAACAACGTAAATTATTATCTTTACATTTCGAACCACCAGCAACACTGAGTAAATTGTTGATATTCATATCTGAATCCAACGACACAATCATTTTAGTGATTTCAAAACATCAACACATCTTTGCATTTCTTATGGCTTGACCTGTGGCCTCATTCAGTGAAATAGGCCAAGCAACATACGGCATAGTAGTAGTCTTCATTGTAAATGGAGCTAATTTTGAGGAAGAAAATTAGATATCGTTTGAAACTCACGAGGATTTTCTGCAACTTCTATGTTACATAGATCTGCCGTCTGTGATTGTTCATGAATTCAGTTCTCCAAAAGTCCATAATCCATACAAAACAGCTTAGCTAGCATGAATGTTTTGTCTTCTCGTAATATGTTATCTTTCTGATGAATTATTATAATTTATATTTTTGTTTGTCTGTGATTTTGTGCAGGGAACAAATGATGATATTGTTGATTGGTCTCACGGCAAGCGATTATGGGAACTCTCCAAGGAAAAATATGATCCCTTGTGGGTAAAGGGTGGTGGTCATTGCAACCTTGAAACATTCCCGGAGTATATCAAATACTTGCGCAAGTTCATTAATGCAATGGAGAAACTCGCACTCACAAAACAGTCAAGCAAACAACTCTCTCAGAATCCTAGTATTACTGAATCCAGACATAACAAATGCTTAAGATTTGGCAAAAAGTAGTTTGATAGTTTTGAGGCTTTGGATGTAGGGAAAATCGGAGACGTGGTTTGCTTGAAGGCTGAGACAAGTACAATAATGCCATAGTTGCCATGCATGCTACTTTGATTCGTATTCATAATTTGGCCGCTCAATTAACTAAAATTGAAGGATACGATCCCTGAAAAAATGGTGTTTCTGGTCCAAATCCTGTTTAGACAGACATAGAACTCGGGAGTGGTGCTTGCATGGTTAATTATAATGTACTTGATTTTGATTGTGGCAAAGTTGTTGAGTTTGTGTATAGGCCAAGATCATTCTCTGAACAAAAGAATGTTCTTATCCAATTTCTTTTATGTGGATAAGGGCACCTAAATTGTTTATTTTAAAAGTGGGTCCACATGTCATCATTATAATAATTTAATACCTTATTAAACCAATAAAAAATCATATGGGTCCCATGGTACTACTTATGTTGGGGTTGAATTGATGGATGGATTTGAAGGAGACAAAAATAAGAAAAAATAAAATAAAGAGGGAAATTATTTGAATTAATAGAAAAGAGTAAAAATAGGTGCAAAGTTAAATAAATTTATTTATTATTTTAATATATTTTTAAATTATTTATTGATATAATAATATAATAAAAAATATATTAATTATACTTTTATGCATGTAAGTAAGTATTCTAGAATATTCGTTTACATATAAAAATATAATAATTATGTTAAAAAATTTAAACTTTTTTCTTTTTACATGCGAGAGGATCAATTTAATCTTGATTTTATAACTTTTTTTAGGTTAAAAAACATAAAATCATTGCATTTTATTGCATCCCATATTTTTGTTGGAAATAAACACAGATTTTTAATCCAATAATATTTTTCATGCTGTACAATTTGAAGCCATAGAACATGTTGTGTTCACTAGACAGATAATGAATAATGTTCTTTTGGTATAATACCATAGTTAATCAGTAAAACTTTGACTTATTTAAGAAAAAATCTAAGTATTTCTAAATAATTGTGCATATCTGATTCATGTTATTTATATAATACTTTAAATTTTAATTAACATAATTTAAAATTTCCTTTATTAATAGTATTTTTAAGTACATTTTCTAAAATTTTGTCTGTTCCAAATATTGATAAATACATATTTTTGTTAAGGAGGACCAAGGCCCAAAAGATATTAACTCTAAGAAGTTTGTTGGGCCCATTATCTTCTTATTACGAATAAGACTAAAATTAACTTTAGTTTCCCAAAATTTTCTTTTATTGAATTTGATTTTCATTCTTTAAAAACATGATTTGCAATATCTCAATTCAACTATATTTGAACATATTTTTAGAATTAATATCATAAATAATATATTTTAAAAAAATTACTTAAATTTATCTAATTAGATTTTATATACAAATTTAATAAGAAAAAATAAATTTATTTAACATATAAATGTTTTCATCTTTTTTTTTCAATTATTTTTTTTTCATTTACTTGTTATTTCTTTCACTCTTTTCTTTTCTCATTCCATCTTATTCTTCAATAAAAAATAATAGATTAAAATGTGATAACATATATATTTTATTATTATTGACAAAAAATATTTAAATAATCTACAAATACTATAATTTAATATATATATTTATTTTAAGGTATATTTTTAATAGTCTTTTTTAAAATTATCTAATCTAATTAATTATTATAACTAAATATAATTATTAAATAAAATATATTTAATTTATAAATATTTAATGTTTTTTAATTAGATGAATAATTATTTATTATAATAAAATAATTTTACATTAATTATTTACGTCATCATAAATAAATTTTTTTACTGTCACCATAATTTTAAATAATTAGTTAATATTTTTTATTTTCAATATTATTTTTAAAATATTTGTTTTGACATATTTTTATTAAATTTTAATATAACAGTTTAATTAAAATAAAAAATAAAAAATAAGAGGAAAATATGAGAGTTAAGATAGAAAAAAAAGGAGTAAATGAAGAAAAAAACTACATATATAAATAATAAACAAATTTATTTAGATAAATAAATTTATATAAATTATATTATGAATAATTTTTTTATAAAATATATTAATTTTATGATTGATTGCATGCTTTTACTCAAGAAATAAATAATTATTACTATTATAATTTATTGCTAAAATTAACTTGTATTACCAACCAGTTATTGTCATATTTTTTCCATCTTTCCCTGCGTATCACATTCGTTACTAAATGTACGTATTATTGGTTATAACAATGAGTTAACAGTAAGCTGTCAATTTTTTTATAGATGTATAATTAATAAAAATATAAATAAATTTGGTAAGATTTTTTATATTTTTGAAATATTTTAATTGTTGATTAAAAGTTATTGAAACTTCTTGTACACCTGATTTTTTTTATTCCTAACAAATAAAAAGTTAAGGAAAGTTTTTGCATAAATAAAAACTAAAATAAATAATTTTTGAAAAAACTAATATAAATAAAATTTTAAAGATTAATTTATAAAAACATTTTATTTTCTTTTTAAAAATATACAATTTTTTTTATTCAAAGATACCTGTGTTAATTAAATTGTATCCATGTGTGAGAGGTTACATTCTAATTTTCTCATTTGATGACGAGATGATTAACCGTTACTTTTTAACTAACATAATTCTTAAGTAGTGTTATAATATTAATTATTATTTTTCTTCTTATTAATTAAAATTATTTATTTTCTTTCTTAAGATAAGTTTTTTTATTTTAGAGAAGTCAAATTCTTATGTAGATGGTGAAATCCTTTTAATTTAAAGAGTATAAACACGTTTGAACAAATTTCTTTATAGCAATTATTTTCATATATATATATATATATTAAAGTTTATAAGTAGAATTTTTTTATTGCATAATTATTTTAAATTTTTCATATTTTTTAACATGTGAAGTATCTAAAAGACGTCACATGCCAAACTATCATTAAAAAAACACAAAAGATATGAGAGAGTTTATAAAAAAACATAAGAAAAAAAAACAAAACAAAAGATAAGATAAATTGAGTTTGAAAAGAATCTTAAGTAACATCTGTTATTTCTTTCTATGCATTTTTAAGTGTCTTAGAATATGTATCCAAGAAAACTCAAGAAATAATATGAACAAGTGTGAACATATTCTAAGTTCTCATAAATAATGGTTTTTTTAAGCATAACAGGTCAAAATGACATGTTATTTAAATAATTAAAAAAATTGATTAATCTAACTGAATCTTATAAATAATATATATTTTATTATTTAAATAAAATATTTATTTATTTTTTATATATAATTTTTCTTTTTTTTTACAAGTTTTTTATTTTATTATTATTTATTTTTTCATTCTACATTTTCATTTTCTTTTATTTATTTTTTTAATAAAATATTATAGTTAAATTTAATAAAAATATATTAGTGTATTTTTTCTAAATTAACATTAATATTATAAAAAAATATTTTAAATTATGATGATAATAAATAATTTTATTTATAATAAAAATAAATTATTAATTTAAAATTATTTTATTATAATAAATCAATCATTAATCTAATTTTAAAATATTAAATATCTATAAATTAAATTTTTTATTTAGTAATTATAATTAAATTATGTTATAATAATTACTTATATTAAGTAATTTTAAAATATATTTATTAAAAAAATAATTTAAAATAAATATTTAATTTTTTTAATAATTATAACATAATAACAATATTTATAATATCTTACCATTTATCATATAATATTTTGTAAATATAGTATATTAAATTATAATATTTTTATGTTTAAAAATAATAACAAAATTATTTTATTAAATTTTAATATAATATTTTTAATTTGAAAAATAAAAATAAAATAAAAAATATAAAAAATGATATTATGTGACAATTTAATATTTTATTAATTTATATACAAAGAATAGATATTTGATTTAAATATATCATTAATGAAATTAATGTTATTTAAATTTAAAAAAAAGATATGTATAGAGTTGAAAAAAAAAAAAAAAAAAAGGTGACCCGCAGCGCACCGAAGAGCGTATGGATCGAGGTCTCATCAAAAAAGATTGACCGTACAAAATCCTTCTTCCGAATCCCCTTCTCAACCAATCATCCATTGTAACGTCCTCGCCCTCTCCGATTCCCCACCTTCCTCTGTTCCTCAGGACCCCAACTCTACCTCATCTCCTTCCCATCCTCTCTTTCATCCTACTCCAATCATCACCATCAATCACCCAAACCCTAACCCTAACCCCTTCCTTAAATTAATCTTCCCCCAAATCTAACCTTCTTAACCCTCAAAACTGGTTCACGTAACAAAATACACGACGCTTACTCTTTCATCTCCTTTTCACAGAAAAGACAAGTGCCCCACCGCACGGACCCTTCAATTACAACTCGAAACGTAGTCACAGGTGTTTCGGAAGATTCAGTATTCCGATTTTGAAAGAGAAACATCAAATATTTTCGAGGCTTATCTTTCTATATAATTCAAGTTTTTATTTCATACTAGACAAATTTAGGTTTCTAGGAATCATGTCTAACACATTGCACATAACCACAATGCTGTCACAAATTTGTACAATATTTAGCTATGTCACTCACAACTTATTATTATTCATCATTAATACTATTCATATTAAATATAATTTTGTCTTTCATAAAATAATCTAGCTAATTATTATATTTTAATAAACTAATTTATTTTTAAAATTAGACCAATTATCGAATATGTGAAGATATCAATTCATTTGATTTAATAAAATAATATTTTTATAATATAATAATACATAATAAATTTATTAATAATAATATTTTTTATAGAAAATAAAAATTAGTGTCATAATGATAATAAATTATAATTATAATTAATATAAAATATATTAAAATAAAATATAAAAAATAACTATTAAATTGGTATGATTAATATAAGATAAAAAAATATAATATAATATATATTTTTTTATATAATTTATATTAAAAAATATTGTCTTAAATTTTATTTTTTATCAAAATTCACCAACAAAAATTCAACTAAATTCTTTTGTTTTATTAATTTTATTCTAATTTTTTATTTTATCTTCTATTTAATTAAAATCAAATTATTTATAAGATTTAATTAAAATTGAATTATTTAAAAATAATAAAGTAATTTTTAAATTAGTTTCCAATTACACACGTTGAACGGGTCGATTTAATTCAATTTTTAAAATAATATTAAACTAAAAAAATCTAATTATATAATGATTAAAGTGTCACTTGGTTATTTATTTTATTAAATAAATGAAAATTTATTTCTAGTGCATTTTTTAAAATATAAACTATTAAATCATTTTATGTGACAATAAAAAATGTCACTAAAATTTTATTATAAAATTTTTCCATATAAAAATTAAATAGCAAGCGTTCTTAACCGTTGTTATTTGCAATCAAAATTAGATTGATTTTAACTATTAAAGCTAAATTTAATAATGACCAAAACCAAAAAATTGTCACGTGAGAATACTTTTTCTTAGACATTAAATGTTAATCATAAGCAAAATTGTTAAAATGTTTAAATGAAAAGTAACTATATTTAATAGTTTGTTAGAATTAAATTATTAAAAAAATATTTTCTTCGTTTTTAAAATATATGACATTTTTTAGAAAACAAATTATTTATAAATATATAACGTTTATAAAATTTATATTAATAACTTTTTTTACCAATTATATTCCTCCCTTTTTAATTATATTTATAATAAAGAGAAAAAACAATAAGTTACTTAATAGTCTTTTTATTGAAACAAAAATATTAAGATCATAGAAATATTAATAAAACATTAATAAATTTATTCAAAATAATAAAAATTAAATTGTATAATTTGATCTTAAATCTTGTATATTTTAAAATAAAATAAAATTAAAAATTAAAAATATACCATAATTTGTAAAAAATATTGGGTGTATAAAGTATATATATCAATAATGTAAACTTCACTTGTATTAAAATTTGGAAAACGATCCCAAAGACTTGAGAATTCAAACTTGAATCTGAAGTTTTATTGTAAAAATAAAAAAGTTTGAAAAAAAATATATAATCTAATCTCTCACGGTTTTTAGGTTAAAGGTGTTTGTTATGTTTTTTTTTAATATAATTAACTTATGTATCATTGATAAAAAATTATACGTTGTTCTTCTTACGATATAATTTAAGTTTGAGTTATTTATAAATGATAAAAAAAATCATAATTTAATGATTTTAATTTTTTTTATGTCATGTTTTTATATAATTAACTTATATTTTATTATTAAAAATCTGTTTATTATTGATTTCATTAAAATTTTTATTAATTTTTAATTCATTTTACAGTTATTTTTCTTTATTTTTAATTTCTTCATTTTTTTAATTTCTTTCTTATCTTTAACTTATTTTTTCACCTCAATTAACTTATTATTAATATATATATATAATTGATTCATTTTTAATTAAGAATTTCTTTATTATCAATTCCATATAAAAATATCAATTCTATCCATAAAAAAAATGTGATGAATATGGTAGACTTTTTATTGAATATTAAAAGAACCAAGTTGCGTTATTCTATTCGACACAACTATTAACAACAAATAATAATAATTGAAGACAAAGACAAATTATGTTTTGTTGGTAAAAAAGTTAGCATTTCCATTCTTAGCTGACAAAGAAAAAGTCACTACTCAAATACTAAAACAATAATATTATTACTATAATAAAATAATACATTTTCAAATCATGATTGATTATGTAATTGAAAATCAATATTATTAAAAATTGAAAACATGGAAAGTGTACTAAGACTTAACTAAGCATTTGGTATTAGAAAGAAAAAAACAAATTGAGAATTTAAAGCTCTGAAAGTAATTTTATTATGCTTTGTTTATATTTCAAAAACTGATATTTACAAAAATTTAGTAAAAAATTTTATCACACTTTTCACAAAATTATTCTTATGGTACATAAAAAAACTAACGTTTTTTTAGTTTACATAAAACTGTTACCTACATGAAAACATTATAATGTTATTTTGATTAAATCAATTTATGGGTAAAAAATTAAATATTTTAATAATAATTACACGTTGTTATTTAGTTTTAAGGAAACTAAATATTTTCGAGAATATTACTAACCAATTATCTAGATTTTAATCATTTTTAAGAATAACAGTAATCAGGTTTTATGATTTTTGTAGATCATAATTACTACGTATGAAAATATTTTATTTATACTCAAAATTATTTATAATAACCATCGCAACAAAAATAATAACAATAATAAAAAAGTAGATGGCATTATTTTAAATTATATCCATCCTTAAATTTAAATATGGCAATGCATATGAAAGTAAAAAAATAAAAAAATCTCACCATAATGTTTTAGTTGAATTTTTTTTGTAATTATATGAAATTAAAGCTCATCAAACCTCAATAAATCTTAAACCAACATTTTAACTTTGAAGATTCTTTTTATAAAAATGGTGTAATTTTTTTAAAATTTTTTAAAAATAAATAATTTTAAAAAAATTATAAATCTAAATAAATCGTATTATCAACACAAGATTTTAAAATAAAAAAATACCTTTACTATGCAATTTTTAAAAAGATAGAAGTCTTACTATGCATTGAATTAAAAATGAAATATTATCTTACTAGAAAATTCACATTCCTTATTTTAAACATGAGCGTGGTATTCCATGTAATTATTTTAGCTATTTAATTTAATGAATATAATTTGTTACAACTAGGGAATATAATTACTGGACCAATAAAAATTGTGGAAAAAATCTTTTTCTAAGAACTAAATATAATTACCTAAGTCGTGATTTTTATTACATCAAAATATAACATAGTTTTTCTTTTTCTCCCGTACCATCACCACATGCATCAGGGTAAGAATCTGATAATAAATAAATAAATAAATAAATGTAATAAGGAATATAATTGTGCAAAAAAAACAGTAATAATTTAATAAAAGAGAGTTTTTCTATAACAATTAATGAAAATAATTATTTCATTTCATGCACATAAGTTCTTTCCAAAAATAGTTATTCTTTCTGAGGTAAAAGCTAAATTACCTATAAAATTATCTCCAATTAAATCATAGTATTTATTAACTTTTATTTTAAAATAAAATTTGAATATTTTAATGACTACCTATAAAAAAAATATACTCCTCAGCCTAGTCTATATGTATGCTTGTTCATAACTTAACAAGATTGAATAGAAGCAACCCTGATTGAATATAAAACGGGTAACAAGGAACCTATTTATGGTATTTAATTATATTCAACATTCACTGTGCAAATTAACAAATAATTATAATAATAATAATAATAATAATAATCACGGACAGAGACTAATATTTGTTCTGTTTGGAAGGAAAAGTTATTGACAGAGAACATAGCAATGCCATTGGTAGCAGACAAAGAGAAAGAGACTTTCACTAAAATCCCAAAAGAATAATGATTTGTAATTTGTAATTTTTTTTTTTTTAAATGTTCAGTTGAATCCCTTCACTGGGTCTTGGTAGTCACTATCGTTGCCTACTTCTATTGGTTTGTTTGCATTACGCTCTCTCTCTCCACCTTTTTCTTCTGTTTCTCTTTCTTCTTCTTTTTATATTTTACTTTGTTTCTTTGTCTGTTGCGTCAAAGAGGCCCTGAATACAAGGTTTCTGTTGTCAAGTTTGGAGCTTTTTACTCTGTGAGTCGTGTGTTATTCTAACAATGCTTTATCCTTGTCTGGGTATTTAGTTCTGGATTAAGATGGTGGAGGGAGCCCATTTTCCTGCAGGTTTGCGTGTACTTGCCGTTGACGACGACCGAGCCTGTCTCACAGTGTTGGAGAATCTGCTTCGAAAATGCCAGTACCATGGTTTGTATTTTGTCTGTTTTAATTCACTTGATTCTACATTGGTCATCCTAGTATTAATGAATTGTGCTTTTTTTATTTACTTATTCTCTTTCAACGTGAAGTTTTAGACTCATGAGACATGGATATTTACTTTGGGGTTGACTATTTCTTTTTCCTTGCAAGACTGGGATGCTCTTTCTTTTATCTCATTTTTTTAGGAATGGTTTTCTTGTTTTGCTGCATTAATATTATAATTTGAATCTTATTATAATAATTCTGATAAAAAGTTTGACAATTGACACTCCTTTGATTTATCTCACATCTTCGATTGTTCCAGTTACTACGACTACTCAAGCAGTCCAGGCGCTAGAAATGCTGAGGAAAAACAGAAATAAGTTTGACCTTGTTATCAGTGATGTGAATATGCCAGAAATGGATGGGTTTAAGCTGCTTCAGCATGTTGAACATGAGACGGACCTACCCTTTATCAGTATGCACACAAACCTTTTGTCTTTATATTCATTCAACTTGCTTGAGTATACTTCTCTTTATTCCGAGATTATTGGTATTTTTACTGATGGGGATTATTCGAATTCCCTTTTTTTTATTTGTTTATTTTGTGTTCATTTATATACAAAGTTTGAAGAAAATCAGTCTCAGAAACGCGAGTAATAATGGTATGAGCTTAAACTCTTCTATTTTTGTGTGTTTGTGATCTAGTGTTGTCAGGATACGGTGATAAAGAGCGGGTGATGAAAGGTGTTGAATATGGCGCTTGTGACTTTTTAACTAAACCGGTTCGAATTCAAGAGTTACAGAACATATGGCAACATGTAGTGCGAAGGAAGATTGATAGCAAGGATAAGAATAAGACTGAAAATGATCAAATAAACTGCAGTTTGGCTGGTAAGTTTGCAACTGAAGAGAAAGGATGCACCATTGCTGGGGAATGTAGCAAAGCCTTGGCAACAAAAACTAATGCTAACCAGAATATAAAAGTGGATCAAAAAAGGAAAGAACGCTGTGAGGCTGAGGAAGGAGAAGAAGATGACAAAGAGAACGATGAACCCTCAAATCAGAAGAAACCTCGTTTAGTTTGGGATGCCGAGTTGCATAGCAAATTTCTTTCTGCCATTGATCAGCTGGGAATTGACAGTGAGTGTGATAAAGAAATATTATTTTTCTAATTTTTCTTGATTAAAGAATTCGGAACTTTGTGTGTTTACTTTCTACCACTACTAATGCAGAGGCTTTCCCCAAGAAAATACTTGACTTGATGAATATTGAAGGACTTTCAAGAGAAAACGTAGCAAGCCATCTCCAGGTAAGAACTCTAAATTTCCAATTGAAAATAGATCCCTTTGGTTTCAAGTTTAACCAAGGTTAACATTTGAAAAGAGTAATTTTCCTTTTAAATAAGAGAATAAATGTTTTGCAAGTCTTTCAGATATGATGATTCATAAAAAATTGAACAAACATAGTTTATGAAATATAAGTGTGCACACAATGAACTAACGACTCTGTTCTAAATCCTGGGTTGTGATAATTGTGCTTCTTCATTTTGTTTCGTAGAAATTCAGACTCGGTCTCAAAAAGCCTAATCAACGTGCTAGCATGGTTCCTACGTTGTTGGGTACTAGTGATCCTTACCACCGAATGGGTTCACTAGATTGCTTTCGCACTTCATCTGGACCAGGAACAATGTTAAGCAACACAGTACCATCGTATAGATATGGTCCTGGTGGTTTGTACGCGACAGGAATGAACTCATCTCCACTTGTTCAGGCTGCTCAGTCTCGAAACATTAATAGCAGTTCCATAAAAACACATGGAAACATGCACACGTCCATATTTTCTGGAAATCAAAGCTCAAGCTTATTGCAGGGCATTCCAACCCCAATCGAGGCTAATCAATTCCAGCAGAACAACAGTATAGCTTGTTTTAGGAGGTTGAATCTACTTGATGATTCGATTGGATTTAAAGATTCCTCTAGTTTCTGGGGCAATAGAGTCACTGTTAGGAATGCAGCAAATAATTCTCTACCTAGTCTCTCCAATAATCATCTACATTTTCAAGCAATTTCCACACTAGCACATCATTCGGAAGCATTCAGAAATCACTCTTCTTTTGGAGCTGCTGCTGTTAACACACAATCTTTTGATCCTAATTCCTGTGGTTCGTCTAAAATGATGGATGATTATAATAATAAAAGCTGGCAGGGAGCAGCTCAGATATCTAACTTTCCTTCCAATACTTCAGCAGTCGGTAAGGTTTTCAACAACGATCAACTGCTTCAGCATAACTTAAAATTTTCCTCATCCACTTTTAGCAGTAGGAACAGTCCAGTTGGATTTTCTTCCGCTGTTCCTTCGGAGGATGATGTCCTAGGCGAGGTGCTACGCGAAGAAGGCTTACTTGGGAATGTCTTACTAGCTTCAAGCTACAAGGGAGGATACAGCAAACATACAAGTCAAACCTTCAATTCCATGAATGCTGTCATTTCTCCTAACGGAGGCACAAGTTCCTTGGGAAATAGTTTTGACCAAAATAATGCAGTTGACAACAAGAGAATTGATGCATCTTTGGTTGGCCAAATGAATGGGGTTAATCCATCAATCACACAATGTGGTGAAGGTGAGAATTTCTATTCAATGAAATCAAATGATGCCTACGTTTTGCAGAGCATGAAGTCTGGTGAAGGACTCGTGCAGAATACTTTTGACTCCTTGGATGACATAATGAATGAAATAGACAAACAGGTATGATCACATATTCTTCCTTTAAAAGTCAATATCAAGTTTACCGCTCCAATTTATTACTATTGTTTTTAGATGTATTTACGTTTGCTTCTATTTAACTTACAAATGCAAAGATGTTTTTCTAGCCATAATATTGCAAACTGTTTGGGTTTGGCCATAGTATCCTCTTGTTTCTTCAACTCGTAACAGTTCATATGTATTTATTTGTGGTGCGATTGGAATTTTGTTGTTTCGATGATTCAGTTTGGTCTAAAATAATGAAGGGACGGTTGTTGAATTTGCATATGATTTCATGAAAGACTATTTTTGATGCAGGAGCTTGAAACGATTATGTTGATGGATGAAGGAATAGAGTTTGATGCTTACCATGCTGGATCATGCAAAGGATTCCCTTCTGATTCGGCAAAAATCCTTCCTTGAGATCCACATCCTCGAATTACTCTCCTCTACTTCATCGTTTCATGGTTTAATTTCCTGTTTCATTAATGGACAACGTATATGCTACATGTACAGTAATAGCCGCATCTAATTTCTCCACTCTTTTGATGATCTTTTCATATAAAATAAACAATATATGAGTTTTTTAACTTTTTAGTATTTATGTTGATTTGATTCAAGTACGAGAAAGAATAAGAACGGAACATGGTTTACACTTGTGTTTTTACGATAAGGTAGGAGGGGGTTATTAGCAGAGATTTCATCTTTTTACAAGTTCTACCATTGAAAAAAAAAATCAAGAACAAACAACAAAAGATGGTTATTCCTGAGAAAGGTAACACCTATAGGATTAGCTAGGAAAAGATCCCTAAGCTCAACTTGTAATTTAATTTACATTAAATTTTTTAAAAATTGATTGAATATGGGTTTATGATTAAGAACATATTTATATAATGTTTTTCATTTCCAAATAAATTCACACATCTATTCAAAACAATATCATATTATTATATACAATTAAGAAAAATAAACTATTTCATGATTTATCCAGTTTATTTTTAGAAAATAAAATCAATATAATTAAGGACAAAATATACAAAATAAATCTCAATCTTTTGCTTTCTAAAAGGTCACATCTTATCTGTAATATAATTTGACTTATAATATTTTCAAGAAATAATTCATATTACTTCTCACCCTTCGTAAATAGTCAGCACATTATATATTATATATGATTACAAAAATGTTATCTTAAAATATTTATAATTATTAGAATTGAACTGCATTTTCCTCCTAAATCGTCAGATATCATTTTAAGGATGATTCAATTCATATAATACATTATTCGTTATAAAAATATCAATTAAAAAATTATAAGTATAACATTATATTTATAATTATTAAAAAATATGAAAAATATATCAATTTGAATTTATAATCTATGACTGTAAATCTTCATCATTTATTAATATAATTTGTTCAGTCTATTACTCAATAATCTAAATTAGTTTAATTAGTAATGTATACTGAACATTATTTAACTTTTTTTTCATCATATAAGAATTATTAAATAGTTGAACATGTTATTTCTTTTTTCTTGTTCAAAATTATACAAAATTAGATAATTATCTATATTAATATTTTTAATAAGATAAAGTGATAATTCATATTTAATATTAATAATATATAAAAACGTTTTGTTGATATGAAGATAAAAACATTTATTCCAACATATTTTTAAATTTTTATATTATTTTTTATTTTATTTTTTTCATTTATTAATGAAAATATAATATTTTAAGGCTGACGTGTTTCAAAATTTTCATTATGAACAAATATGTTCGGATAGTTCTGTGAGTAGCAATGGTATCAACGAATAACATTTTGTGTACACGTGTGCGGCCAAAAATCGTCCACATCAATGCTCAAGAAACCATCAGAGAGTTCATGCTTAAAGCCATCCTAAACCTCAAAATCTTGTTTGAAAAGCTAAAACAACCCTCTTCTGTTGTTTCTTCTTAAGTTGTTCTTGTTAAGCGTAACGCATTAGCATTATTGTTGACGATGGTGACCAGAGCGATGGAGGTGGTGAAAGGTTTGGACGTGAAGCGGTACATGGGTCGGTGGTACGAGATTGCGTGTTTTCCGTCGAGGTTTCAGCCCAGTGACGGCGTCAATACCAGAGCCACCTACACTCTCAGGGATGATGGCACCCTCAACGTTCTGAATGAGACTTGGAGTGGTGGCAAAAGAAGCTTCATTGAGGGCACTGCTCATAAGGCTGATCCCGATAGTGATGAAGCCAAATTGAAGGTCAGGTTTTGGGTTCCTCCTTTCTTACCGGTCATTCCTGTTACTGGGGATTACTGGGTTTTGTACATTGATCGTGATTATCAGTATGCTCTCATTGGCCAACCGAGCAGGAGTTATCTTTGGGTAAGCCTATTTTCCCTTTTACTTTAATGTTCAATTTTATTTATCTTGAAAATGTATGAACAGGGTTTTAATTGGGGTTGGATCATGACCATGTTCCTTGATATTACTAGAAATTGCTCATAAATGTGGCCCCTATGCAGTCATAATTGTACTTGCCGACACCTCCCAACACCTCAAAACCTTGAGAGATTGCAACCAAAATTGTAGTCACAGACCAATTTTTAAAACCTTATATTCGACTATATAGATATGGACATATAGATGAAACCATATGGTGTGTGGCACTTTTGTCTCTCAAGCATGTGGTTAGGATATTCCATTTCCAGAAATCTGCATATGAGAAAACAAATGTTGAGTTATCTTCTTAAATATGTGTGTCACTCTTGGGATCACTGTGTTTCTTAAGCATTTTAGGATATTCAATCTCTAGGCATGTATACTTGGAAGGACATATGTCGTGAGATGTTATCGCCTTAAGTTGATATCTCTCAGTGGAAACACTTTGTGTTTAAAGGTGAAGTCTGAAAATGTGAAATTGATTAACTTTTGTTGGTTAGCTAGTGATTGGTGCATTTGTTTGGTCTGGAATGTCTTACTGTTTGGTTATTTTGGTCCGTAGATATTGTCCAGGAAGAATCATATGGATGATGAGACCTACAACGAGCTTGTTCAGAAAGCTAGGGACGAGGGGTATGATGTGAGCAAACTCCACAAGACTCCACACACCAATCCTCCACCAGAGGGAGAAGGTCCTGAGGACACCAAAGGCGTTTGGTGGTTCAAGTCCCTTCTGGGGAAATAGGTATATCTGATGAATGTGAAACAGTGTTTAATAAAAGTAATGAATTGGATCTCTATTTTACTTATATTGGCTTGTAGTGTAAATAGGCCAATGTCTGAAAATTTGACGTTTGATGCACTGATTGTGTTTGTTCTTGGTGAGAATCCAATGTCTGAAATTAAATCCTTTACAGCGATTCTCATGTTCATTTTGCTTTTACTTTTTCTTTGTTGAAATCTCTGACTAAGTTGTGTGGCTGTGACGATTAATCCTCTGCCTTATACCCATTTTATTGCGGCAAAGATAAGGAAGGGTGTGGGGATTCATCCGTAACATTGTGAAGTGCAAGTTAGGTCGTAAATTTAGTTCGAAAGAAAAGTATAAGTCTTTGTACTAAATTTCAATTTTCTAAAAATTATCTACCATAGAAAAAAGAAGAAATTTGTAGTGTTTCGTAGAACCAAAATTATTCATGAAAAAATGATTTTTTTTTCATAAATGAACAAATTAATTTATACAATTTATTTCATATAATTAAAAGAAATCTTATTATAACTAATTTTCATAGGATAATTTTAAAAATGTAACAGTGAGTTGATACCCAGAGGGATCTCTTGAATATGATCTGTAACTAATAAATATATCACTGGGATAACCTTTGCGCGCGCAAAAAAAAAAAAATTCTGTGGATATGAATGCTTAAAATTCCTAAAAATGGAAAATTGAAAAAAAAAAAACGGGGTTGGTTAGTGATGTAAAGCAAAATGAAATGGATAATTGGAGATTCTACATCACGTCAAGGAAAATGGAGTTGCAATGGAGATGTAACGTGAGAACGAGAATTGGAGTGATATAAACTATTATTTCCTCCAAAACGATGGACAGTGATGTGGACAGAATAGACTGTTCCCTCCTGAACCAAACAACGTTAACATCACCGTCCCAAGTCTAAAATATTGTTTGGATTTTTTCAACACCTTTTTCAAATACAATCTTCTGGTCTGAAATGAAATTAATTTTCATGGCTAATAGTAATTGATAACAAGTTTTTCATTTTATAAATCTAACATTATTCTTGTGATTGTTGACATTGGAGTCAGGTCTCTAGAGCCACAAGGTGGAATTTTCACCACTAAATTATAACCAACATTTTTTTTAAAATCTAATAAAAAATTACAAAATTTTAAAGATATTCCTCGAAATCAACCATTTTTACTTGTATGTGTTGATTAGTGTTGATTTTATATTTAATTAACAAAATATCTTCGAGTGAATTTATATGTATTTAAATAAATAATGAAAAAGATATAAAGTATATTTAAATTACTAAATTTTTATGATTGGCATTAGTAAACATATGTTATAATATAAATTTATATCAAATTAATAAGTTATCTTTAATACTTTCTTTTTAAAATGGCTTTTGGTTAATAATCAAATATTTATTATGTAAGGATTTTTAAGATGTGCTTTATATGTTTTAATTAGGTCTCAAAATCACTTTCAATGGTTGAATATGAATTTTATTAATAATAAAAAACTTTGAATTATTGATTAAATTTTCTTTTATTTAATTTTTTAATTGTGAGTTTAGTAAATAAAGTTGATTGACATTAGGAATGGAGATAATAAACATTAAAAAAATATTAGTTGGAATGTATTATCATCAACTTTCTATTTTTAAAAGAAGAACGTGAACTAGATATTAAAAATGTAATTCATTTATAAAGTTGATATTGAAAATATAATTCATTTATAAAGTTGATGTTGAAAATATAATTCATTTATAAAATTTAGGGAATTAGATACCAAAATATAGTAAATAAGTTGTTAGAATTAGTTATTTACATTTATATATTAACTATCAATATTCAAATTATAATTAATATTTTGGTTGAATATTTCAATATTACAAATAAATCTCCAAAACCATATAAATGTGGTGACTCATTGCTTTCAAACAAAAGAATACTTTAGTTAAAAATTCATTTAACATAATTAATATTATTAATTTATGAATAAAGTCAAAATTTATATCAATAAATGAATGGTTGAACAAAATAGAAATATACAATAAAAAAAATTATGCTCACTTGATAGGCAAAAGAGTTTTAAATTTATAATTCATGCATTTGAAGGTGTTATTAAATCAATTAGTTACAGGTAAATCTTTGTGAAAAGTTAAAATAAAAGTGATGAAGTTGTGTGATATAAAAGATAACTTTTTTTTTAAGTTTCACCAGATTTTTAATTGCTTATAACTCATGAAAAAACGCAAAAGTTTAAATTACATATAATGGGTGTTACTCGAATCTATTTATATATGATTATCTTAAAAATTATATATATATATATATATATATATATATATATATATATATATATATATATATATAACTTTTTACTGATTTAAACTTTTAAATGATGTAATTTTAGAGATGATTAACAATGAAGTTGAATAAGTCTCTTATGAATTAAAATAATGTGGACATGTGATAGAATTGCCCTAAATAATATTTATAAAAAGAAAGATATAAAAAAATGATCTTATTTGTTCTTATACTTATATGAAAAGATCATATAATAAATTTGTCATATTATTTATGTATAAATATAATTAGAATTCTTAAAAAACTTACAAAAACAATTGATTATTCAATGAATTTTTTTTTGAGAAGAAATATCTTGGAATAACAAAATTTTGTTTGAGATTACAAATTGAGTATTTAAATAAAAGTATTTTGTATACGAGAATTTATATAAAAAATATACTTAAAATATTCTATATGAATAAATCATATACGTTGTCCTTTATTGTAAGCCTTTTAGATATAGATAAATATATTTTTAAACTTCAAGAGAAAGATGAATAACTTTTTTATTTTCAATTATCATATCTTAGTATTGTAAGAAAATTAATGTATTTTACTAATTGTATTCGACCTAATATAATATTTATTGTAAATTTATTAACAATATATAATCCTTTACCTATAAGAAAACTCTGTTGGAGTAAAGTATATATATGGTTATCTTGATGATACTATAATTTTGGATCTGTTTACTTAAATATAGATATAGTTCATTCAAATAAATTTAGAAACTTCTCCTTTGTCACAACCAATTTTTTATTCATCTCTTCTATAATGGTAAGGTGAATTTTATAATGATTTTCTATTTTTATATACTTACATTTATTTATATTTATGAATGGTGAATAGTTGACTTATATTTTAATCATATTTTGATAATTAAATATGATTTTATTTTAAATGTTTATGTAATACTTATTATTTAGTTAATTGCAAGGTTTTGATTTATTTCTAGAGAGGATTTAATTATTTTATTTTGAAAGGAAACAAGTTTTTATGTGCAGTACTATAAATCTAAACAGAAATAAAGATTTGACATAAGCTATATAATGAAAATAACTAAAGAAGTTGTTTAATAATTGCCTAAGTTGAAGTGGACAGTGAAGAAATAAAAGGAATTAGGTGTATGAAACGGAAGAGTGGAGTTATGAAGGCTGTGGAAACGAATCAATGAATGGCATAAATGTGAAATGTATCAATTAAAGAAAGTTTGTTTGATGTAACAGACAAACAAAGAAAACAAGAGTGACCAAAAACAGCAAATAATGGTTAGATTCCAAAAATGACGATGTTAATGGTTGTCCTTGGGAAGGAAATCCTGACCAACTATTTATGCGCGAAAAATGTGAAGAAATAGATAGAAAAAATATTATTTGGGAGTCAATCTCACTCACCAATTCGCTACCTTGTTTTCCATTACATTCCCTCGAGGGTTTTCCTCAGAAAAACTCGCAGGGAATATGCTTGTTTCTTCCATCCAATAGATCGAGATTGGAACATCAGTTTTTGGGTATGCAAGCATGTGCAATGAATGTTCAATAAATTTTGTTTTTTCTGTTTGTTTGCAGTTTCTTTGTGATGTTTGTGGAGTTGAAACAAAATTATCATCAACTTCATAATTGTTGATGAGGTTGAATAATAATGAAAGGAAGGTGTATGGGTAGTGGAATAATTGCAGAGGAAAATGGGACATAGGAATTTTGAAGTTTTGATTGACATTGAGTTGTTTTAGTTTGAATTGTGACAGGAAAAAACAAAATGCTGAGAAGCTTGTTTCTGATTTCATTGTTGGTTAATGCAATAGTAGCCCAGAAACTTGCACCTGCAAATGCCCCTGCCCCTGCCCCTGCCCCTGGACCTCAAGTCCCTGCCCAGAAATGGTCGACATTAAGTGGTTGGTGTGATGGGAGGTAGGTTCTGTTTGTGTGAGTGGTTGCTTCCATAGCTGATTCCTGTGATTGTTGATGTTGCAGGAAAAGAGCCTCTTGTAATAGCCCGAGGTGGTTATAGTGGACTATTCCCAGAAGGAACTCCTGACGCCATTGCGCTAGCACGAGACATGAGCATTTTATTGTGCAATCTTCAGTTGACAAGAGATGGCGGTGCCTTTTGTCTAACGGGATCTGCACTTGACAATGCAACAACTATAGAATACTTCGATCAGAAGCAGAACACCTACAATATTGATGGGAAGGACGTGAAAGGACACTTTTCAGTGGATTACACAGCCGATCAGGTTGGCATGAATATATCAGGTCAGTTCCCAACAATTTTATACATAATCGTTATTTTTTTATTCAATAATTATTTTATTATAATATATTTAACAATGTTATAAAACAAAACAAAAACTTAAACAATGTTATAAATCATATTACAAACATCTTAAATTAATAATTTTTTAAAAATATATTATTTATGAGATGACCCTATGCAGATTTTCATACATTATTACTTCAGAGTATACTGGTGCGGAAATTGTTGTTTAAAAAATATCCAAATAGAAATGTCTTATAAACTACTTGGATTCTTTTTCTCCCAACTTCCATTCCCAATAGAAATGTCTTATAAAAATAAAGGTTTTTAAGTACACACGTAGACACAAGTATGACCCCAGTTTGAGCTTTAAAATTGAAGTTTTCTCTTTGCTATGTATTCTGCAGTGATTCAGGCCATATATTCCCGACCCAGTTCTTACGATGGTCTTGAGCCGGTTCTTAATCTTGATGCTCTACTAAGCTCAAAATCTCCACCAAGGTTTTGGTTGAATGTTCAGGTTTGTTATCTCCCTTAATTCAGCACTTTCTCTGAAAATTGGAACTCCATAAGCACCAATGGGGCATTCCTTAATTCTTTATCTTACCGATTTATTATATATTAAGTGCGTGTTTTGTTGCAGAATGCAGCATTCTACAAGGAAAGAGGACTAAAGGTGGAAGATATTGTTTTGGAATTATTGAATGCCTATCAAATAGATTTTGTTTCATCTTCAGATATGGCTTTCTTGAAGAGTGTCGGTGAGAAATCAAAAAAGGGATCTAAGGTCGTCTTTCAACTTCTTAATGCTAAGGAGGTGGAGCCTTCAACCAAGAAGCCCTATGAAAGTGTCGTGAAAGATCTTGCCACAATCAAATCATTTGCATCAGGCATAATGGTCCCGAAAGATTACATATGGCCCGTTAAAGCAGACAAATATCTGGGACTTCCCACCACAGTTGTGGCTGATGCCCATAAATCAGGACTAGAAGTTTATGCTTCTGGTTTTGCTAATGATTTTTTGGCTAGCTATTCTTATAACTACGATCCTACCGCTGAGTACCTTCAATTTTTCGACAAGGGAGAGTCAGTTGATGGTGTTGTCACTGATTTCCCATCAACAGCATCAAATGCCATAGGTCTCACAAATGTTCCACCTAAATTCACAATCTATTTCTAACTGGAAAATTACCTCTATAACTTTTCTAACTAAATTTTTGTTTTACAGTTTGCTTTGCACACAACAACACCTTGCCCGAAAAAGGTATATTACTAATCTGAAAATGTTCTAAATCATAATCACAGACAAGACATGGAAAACAGGTCGACGACAAATTTACCTTATAAATTTGTTTTTGTAGGACCAACTTTGGTCATAAGCAACAACGGAGCAAGCGGAATTTATCCAGGCAGCAGTGATCTTGCATATCAGCAAGCAATAGATGACGGTGCTGACATTATAGATTGTTCAGTTCAAATGACAAAAGATGGAATTGCCTTCTGCTCAAATAGCACAGACATAGGCCCAGATACCACCGCATTAACTAAATTTTTCTCTAGATCTTCCAGAGTCCCAGAAATTCAACCAAAAAGTGGAATTTTCTCCTTTGACCTTACATGGAGTGAGATTCAGACATTAAAACGTAAATACTTGTATAGAACTTCAGGTTTCAAGTTCAGATTCAGCATTTCAGATTTCAGATTTCAACTATGATCTTAAACTATAAGTTTCTTGTTGCAGCTCAAATTGTTAAAAGCGGCGATTTCCAAAGAAACCCGGCAAACAGAACCAGCGGTAAATTAGTCACCCTCCAAGAATTTCTGGAGTTAGCCAAGACAAAGGGAGTTCCTGGCGTTTTGGTAAACATTCAGGTAAGCAATGTCACTAACTTTGGAGTTTTCTCTAAAATTTAAACCAGTAATAAAAGTACATGTTAAAAAGACTGATGCTGATATATTTACAACTATTGGGAAAAAACTTTCATTAAATAATTCAATTTAATATTATAATAATCATAATAATTAAAAAAAAAAATTATTATTATATTATTAAATGCAATTGTTGGATGATGTATATTAAAAAGTTGGTTATCAATTAATCTTTGTCCTAAAAAAGAATGTGTTACTGACAATGTTATTCTATTTGAAATTTTATATTATTGCCAACTCCAACTGGCAAACAGAATGCGGCGTACCTTGCATCAAAAAGGGGACTTGACATTGTAGATGCTGTGAGCAGTGCTTTAAAAAATGCCACCTTGGACAAGCAGCAAGTTCTGGTTCAATCAGATGACAGCTCGGTCCTATCCAAATTTAAAGATAACCCGTCATACAAAAGGGTTATGTTATTGAATGAAAGAATGGGCGAGGTACCAAAAAAAACAGCGGAAGAAATAAAGAAGTACGCGGAAGCAGTAAATATTCCAAAAAACTCTGTCATCGAAGTATATTCCTCTTTCTTATATCGATTTACAAATGTTGTTAAAGAGTTGAAAGAAGCAAACGTCACAGTATTCGTCCGTACTCTCAAAAATGAATACACGACACTCGCATTCGACTACTGGTCAGACCCTAATGTCGAGATTGCTACTTACATCCAAGCTGCTATGGTTGATGGAATAGTCACCGATTTTCCAGGCACTGCTAGTAGATTCATTAGTGAGTCATTCGAATCTCAACGACTCTCTTCATCTTTGCAAACAATAATTCCAGTAACTACGAGTAAAGCTAAAGCATTTCTAGTATTGTTATTCATAAAAAAGAAAATGTTTAAACTCCATCTACCCTTTGTTATAATTTTCAGGGAGCCCCTGTAGCGATATGAATAATGAACTTGCTATCTTACCAGCTAGGCCTGGTGAGCTATTGAAAACTATTCCACCTGAGGAACAGCCAGCAGCACAGGCACCTCTCCCTCCCCTTGAGATTGAAAACGTTGTTGACCCACCTCTTCCTTCAGTCACTAAAGCTTCCGATTCGAATCACCCTGGGCCTGCTGCTGATGCAACACCAGCTGCCGCTGCCGCTACCGGTTCCAACGATACTGCACCTTCAGGTGCCAGGGCAAATGTCGCAAACTCTGGCCTTTCCCTGGTAGCCGCCATTTTGGTACTTGCTATGGTCTTGGATCGTCATTAATGTGATTAAACCAGCATAACTAGAGATCACTAATTCAACTCTAACACGTGTTATATTCCATCTTGTATCAAAGAAACGAACATGTCATTGGTTCACATCTTACTAAAGTGTTAATTCATCAGGCAAAGCCCTGCTTGCGTTTGGATCGTTCGGAATTGTCAAATTCTATAAAAATATCGACGCACTTTCAAGCATAATGCATGCCAAATTCCAAAATCATGTGTTCATCGCTAAATTTCGTCCAGAATTTTAAATGCAAAAATATTAGCAAGAAAAATGCTTACGAAATTATAATAAAATTAATTTTGTTACATTTAGCATATGTCGTAATTAAGCAGTAATTAATCTTCTTAAACTCTACAAGTATATGAAATTTAGACGCAATGAAATTAGAATTTGATTCAACTACAATTGACCGATAAATACATTATTACAGTACCTTGTCCCATTAAATAGCCAAAAACAAACGTGAACCGGAAATCAGATACATAAACTGTAATATAAATATTGAATTGAATGTAAGCGATCATTGCAACTAAATAATTCCATATAAGAATGAACCGAAAATATATATCACGTACACGACTACATAATTGTACATAATTAGTCTAGTTTCGTAGATAACTCGCTTCAATATAACCGAATAGCAGAAATGCATTTCTGTCTGATGTTAAAGCATCTTCTTAAAGACGATCCAGCAATTAGGTTGCATCACAGAAACGCTTGAACAGTATAAAAAATTCTGCATGAACAAATAACAGAAACTAGAGTAAAGCAAACCTATCGACCATACATCTCTAACTACAACGAATAGCTACAAATTATAATTAATTAGGGATTTCTGGGTCGAACTAAGTAAAAACAAAACCATGAAAACCGATCAACGCTGCGTTCGTCAGACGATGTATGGAATGAGAGAGAAAAGAGAAAACCGACAGGATCGGGAAACCGCTCTTCCCTTCTCTAACTCCATACACCTCTGCCAAATGCTGCGTTAAGACATCGTCGGCAACGAAATATTCAGGTACGAATTCGGCGAGGCTCAGATCCATCGCAACGATAAGATCGGCAGTCGAAAAACAACAGCACGGATGGCTGCAACAAGATTACAAAAGCAATATCGTTGCCTCGCCACCAGCGAGCGATGCTTAACGGCTACCGACGCATCGCGTCCACACTCCGAAACCATCTTCACAGCCTCATTTAGTTGAGAGAGGAGAGAAAAGAGGGAGTGAAGGCCAAAGAATTAAGAAAAAGAAAAAGAAAATGTAACAAGTTTGGCAGAGAGAGAGAGAGTGAGAGAGAAAGAGATGGAAACATATTTATTATTATTATTATTATTATGGAAGTGCAGGAAGTATGAACGAGAATGCCACGAGATTAGGGTTCTTTGAAGCATCAACGAAAGAGATGACTACTCTTTCAGAGAGGAGTGTGGCGGCTGCAAAAACCCCAATCTGCTCCTGAGCTTGAAGTAGCTAATATTTTATACAGGGAATTCAAGGAGAGGGTTTTTTTCCCTTTTCCAATTCTACCCTGTAAGTGCCTACGGTGGATGGGATCTACTGATCTGGATTTGGGCTTTTCAAATTTGGGCTGCCTGCGCACTTACCATAAAACTGAATTGTATTTTGTAAAAGTAGGGTGTTTATTATAAGTGAACATACATACATGTGTTTCTTGAACTTGATTATTCAATTTTTTTTTTTTACATACTAAAAATATAATCACTAAAATAAAATTAATTACAGAATTTTCTATAAAAAAATAGTTACTAAAATATTATGAGTAAAGATAAAATTGTAAAAAGGTATGTGCCTAAAATATAGTTAAAAATTGATATGTTTTCATATATTACTAAATAAAATTAATATTTAATTATGCTTTTATTCGTTTAAGTTGATGTAATTCTTGGCTTAGAAAACTTAACTTTTTTTTTAATTCTCAAATTAAAAAATACGGTTTTAATTTATCAAGTTTATTGTTTGAAATGACAATTTTAAAAGTTATTTTGAATTTAAGATTTAAAGACCAAAAATTTAATTTTCAAATATGAAAACCAAAACAAATTACTTTAATTAAAAAAAAATCAAAGCGTTCGTTAAATAAATGAATCTTAATTTTAATATTGTGAGTTTTTAATTAGATAATAAAATTTAATGCTTCCTCGATCATTATTTTATGAATTTTATTCGACAATAACACAAAATAATATAATATTAATATATTGTTAATTCCAAGAATGTTGATCCAAAATTTATGGTAAAATGTTTTGGTGAGCAGTGTTACTAACATATAACTTATTGTTATTTTCAAGTAAACATTTAAGAGGCTCTGATATGGCTGCAACGAATTCAATATCTGATTAAGTTGCCGCGCCGCGCCGCGCCATTTGACGGCGACCAACCCACCGGATCCACACTCCGAAGCCTTCCTCACAGTCTCTTCGGGTCCAAAGACAGAGAGAAAGATAAGCATGGTCAGAAGCAGAAATTGTGTGTAATAGCAAAATTTAGATGAGATTTTTTTAGGGATGAGCGGGCCGCTATAAATACAGGGGATTGATATTTTCAATACGTGAGTCACTCCAGGTGAATTCACTATTCGCTTAATTGATAAAAATGTTATTCTTATTATAAGTAAAAATTTTGTTTAAAGTGAACTTAAAATCTTATCCTCGTGTAAATACTTTTCGAAAGACAATTTTTTTTTCTCCCTTCCATGCTTATCTAGAATATTGATCTTTTTATCTCATCACTTGCGGAGAGAATTATTAAAGGGAGAAGAACGTGAAATTTTTTCAAATAACAAAAAATATAATATATTTAAAATTTTTAATATAATAATTATATAAATTTTATTTTTATTTGTTGGTTTAAAATTATAATTTTTATATCATTCATTTTAAATATATATTAAATTATTAACAATTATAATTTATTAAATATTTTAATTTAAAAGAGATAAATAAATTAATTTTGAAAAAAATAATAACAGGTAATCCATTGTCAATCCACATTTTGATGGAGGTAGACAAAGGTTTAACGGCGTGTTATGACCATAACATACAATTAGTCTACCATATTTTTAATAAAGTAAAAATAAAACAAATTAATCAGTTTTGTCATCTCTATATTTGTGCATTATTTAGAAACATCAACGAGTGATCTCCATCTAAAATGGAGGAGTTGTAAAAACTCCTGCCTTGTCAAAGAGTACATCCATTGGATTGATCCACTATAATTTTTTTAAAAATTAATTAATTTATCTTTTTTAAATCAAAATTTTCAATAAATTTATTAATAAAATTATTATTTATTTATTAATAATTTAACGTATATATTTTAAGTTAATATAAATTGACATATTGTGTTAAAAAATTATAATTTAAAATAATCAAATTAAGATAAAATTTATATAATAATAAATACATGTAAATTGTAAAATCTATATTTTTATATTAAAAAATTTAAATGTTTAAAACTAAAATTATATTATATTTTTTATTTGATAAAACTTTATGTTTTCCCCTTAAATAATACTTACACCTTTAAACAATCAATGTTTTGCATGGGCGGAGGGAAGAACTTGTGCGGAGGGAAGAACTTGTGCTTGAGAAATTAAAGTATTTTCCACGTTAAACGAGTGAGTGAGAGTGAAAATGTTTTAATTACCTTTTAACAAATTTTCACTTTATATCTTTGTGACTAACTAATGTTACATTAAAAATAATTTTTTTTATCAATTAAGTAGACTGTGGATTGACCCACTCCATCCTATAAATTGACCCGTAGATTGACAAAACTTGATAGAATACAAATTGACCGTGTAAAAATACCAACCCATCCCATTACATTTACAATGAATTGACATACCAACCCATCAAACCTGACCATTTTATCATCCCTGTTCAAATCCACTAATATTGATTTGGACCACCTGTCTATTTTGGACTTCCTAATTCCTGGAATAAAAAAATTACGAGGATTTTATTTTACAAAATATAAATACATGTTTTAATATTTTACTATTATTAGATTAATCCAACTTAAAATTCATTAAATAAGATGAATTTTAAGGTAAGAATACGAGATCTTAATTTCTAAACTTTGGTACTTTAAGATTTTCCCGCAAAAGGCAAAAAATAATTAACAAAGTCACAAACTTTATTGAAATAAAATTACGACGCAAATACATACTTCCCCTCTCATCTTAGAATTTTTTAGCTTATTTAACAATGGACTCTTAACTCTAAACCTTGCAAGAGTACTTTTCCAATTTAATTGTATTATTTTTAGAAGTTGCTTGGAGAAATTGACTGCCGTGGCAACATTGCTTTACTACAGAGGCATTTTTGACATCACACCCACAGTTCTCACCACCCCACCTCGCAAAAATGCTACCCAAGTTGACAATGAGTGTACTATATATATTAAGTCAATTCTCAATCTCATTTATTATACTGACTGATAAAATGAGGCAGAGCATTTCCTATGCTATTCAGGAATTGACGAATATAATGTTAGTGATAGAATAGCTTATAACACTTTGAGACAGATCAGACAGCCATAGAAAGTGATTGAGGAAGTGCCTATTTGTTTCTCATAATACTTTACACAAACACACACAGAGGCACTCTTGACATCACACACACACACACACACCAATACTTTTACTTCGGTCATCAAACAAATCTTACGTCCACTTCCTCTTGCTGTTTTACTCATTTTCTCTTTAAGTGATTGGTGCCAACAAATTCGTAGTAACATCTATGAGCAATCTTTGATGCAACTCTTCCTAGCATTGCTATCCTATAACTTACAAAATTATTCAATGAACAACAACCAAAGGAACAGCAGAGACACAACATATCCTCTATAAATTCAACACCAGTTCATTTTCATTCACAACTACAATACGGTAACTTAACTCACAAACAGTACAAAAAACATCATTCACTATCAGAAAAGAAAAACAGCAGGCTTTATAATAAGATTGAATGGGAAAACCGGAACAATAAACAGTAAATGTTATTGCATTAGCATAAAATCACTGCTTAATAGAAGAAAAACAACCTTTACTAACCTCAGCCCAACAAACTATACACACTATGCAAAAACCCTAAATACCAAGCGCCACAAATCGTTCATCGCCACCAAAAATGGAGAAAGCCCCTGATTAGTTCCAATTAAACCCAACCCAAAAAGAATATCCTCACTGTTTTCATACTTATGGTTATCTAATATTTGAATATTGATTTGGCTGATCAATAACTCCACATTGTTGAGTATCGTTGATCAATAAAGTTAAATAAAAAATAAATAAAATAGAAGAACTGACTAACCGTGATATTGAAAATTGAAGGCGAAGATCAACCACAAAAAAGGAGAGAACAATCACCAAGGCTAAGTTCACAAAAAAATATATGGAATAAATTAAAAAAATTGAGATTGAAATGCAAAACCATGTAGATTGATAACCTTTGATTGAAAAAGTGAAGGAGAAGAACAGAAACGGAACTTAGGAGAGAGTTAGGCTTCGTGGATTCAGAAGTGAGAATATGGAACATCACATAAAACTTTTGAATTTGTTTGAGGGTATTTTTTATGCACCAGCTTCCCCAGAAGTCAAAAATAGGAAAGTTGAAAAATTTTAACTTCTTGAAAAGCTCTACTAAGAGCTATTGACAATATCAAGAGCTAAAAAAAAATTATACATCCAAACACCATTTTTAAACAGTAAAAGAGCTCAAGTCAGTAGATAAGCCCCCACAAGAGCTTCCGAGAACATTCAAAGAGGCCCTCAACTGATATCCGCCCTGTCAAGCATATCCACATGGGTCATCCTCCGCGGAAACCTAGTTGGAAGTCTCAAGACCATGGAATCTTCTATCTCAATGGGTAGATGAGTCGCCACAATCACAATTCCTCCGTGTTTCCTATGTTCTGCTATGATATACTCAAGTAACTTCACACCTTCATCATCTAGAGCAACTGAAGGCTCGTCTAGCAACCATATGGGGCGATCAATAGCCAGCAATCTGGCAAGTTGTAGTCTTTTACGCTGGCCCATAGATAGCATCCTTGGTTTTTCATTGGCTAATTTTCCTAGTCCCATCAACTCAACTGCGGCCATAGCCTTCCCTTCCTTATTCTCAAGAAGTTCAAACCATTGTACATTGTTAAGAACTGTGAACTTATCATTAATGGCGTCCTTGAAAGAGAGCCAGTTAAGCTGAAGCTTATACTGATGGAATATTGCAGATTGTTGAATGTCATGGCCATTCCAAAGAATTTCACCAGCGGAAGGACGAGAAAACCCAGCTAACATGCGCAGGAAAGTTGTCTTCCCCGAGCCATTTGCACCTGTTAGCACAAGCGCCCCTCCATCATGAAGAGAGACATTCACATGACGCAGAACTTGCTGGGCATTTCTCATACAAGAGACATTGTTAAGGAGGAGACGAGGCAATGGGGTTCTTCTAGACATCAAGTTTAACAATTGAAAAAGAAAACTACTGCCGAACAGCAAATCTAGGATAATATTTTCTGATCCTTTGATTTCTATTGACGATACAAGTAGCACAAGTCACAGCATTCCCGCACAAACCTGCTGTGAAATAGGATAGAAAAGGACAAAAAGAGTCAGGAAGCAATTTTCTCTGGTTTTCTGAAGAGTGACTCAATCTTAACTACACAGGACCTAAGTTACCATGATGCTAAAACACCTCATAAAAATACTATCAGAATTACGTTTGATGTTCAAGCATTTTCATAAGTTCTAAATATAGATGAACCTTGGGGGTTGGAATAACATGAATTGGGATTGTAACAGAAGCACTACAATCGACAGTAAATATTATAAGCAGAAAGTTGAAATGCAAATAACGCTAAGAGGAAGCTACCATTTAATGCAATATTAAAAAAAAAAAGCATAACCGGAGATGAAAAAGTGTCTTATCACTAGCACAGGTGAATACGAAACAAAAGTCATGTCGCAGTGTACTAGCTATTCATCTTATACCTCAATGTTAAAGTTCAATGATCAACTAGATAGGCTTCTCTTTTTTTCCAATGCTTTTTAAACGGGCGGATAGGATAGGTCCGGCCGAGGAAAAAAAAAAGCACTTTTTAAGATCAGACGCAGAACCAAAGTGCCAAACATCAAAGATCAACGCCAAAAGAACAAAGAGATAAGTCACTGATTTGATGTGAGAAAAGGAATAGGAGGACCAACCTGGAAGGCGGCCACTGGTTTCACGGCTTTGGCGATTTCTCGGTGGTGGTTAAGGACTGCGACTGCGTCGGCGGCGGCGGCAATTGCTGGTGCGGCGTGAGAGGCAGGAGGCGCCGCAGAAAAAGAGAATATGGATGGAGAAGAGAGAAAGAAAAGGAGTAAAAACCATTAGCTTCTATATATATATATATATATATATATATATAGTTTTAAATATGTGCCTAAAATATATTATTCCTACATTGGTAACTTACATTATACAAACAACCTCACCACAACTATTTGTATTAATTTTATAATAATAAAAATTTATATTTTTATATTTATTATTTTATTAAAATAAATTGTAATTCGGATGTTTAGAATCAAGAGTGGTTTTAATATATCACTAGTCTACCTAATCATATTAAGTAGAACAAAAGATAACCCATTTTTATCAAATATTTATCCAATAATTGTTTTAAGTTTTTATATTAATATTTATCTATCATATTCTTTTTTATATCAATCAACACAAAAATATTATTTTAAAAATATTTTTTGAATGTTTGAAAAACCAAAACTATTTTCCTATTAACTGATACGGATAAAGGATTCAGTTGTTCAGAGACTATTTGATATCTTTTTTAAAAGACTAAATAAGATATAATAATTTACGGAATTGAATTAAGTGTCTATTATATCTGTTCTTCAATTAAAATAAAAAGAAAAAATTTTATGGATCTAAAATGGTTTCCTTCTCTTTTTTATATATTATTTCTAATACTATTAATTATCACTTAAAAATTTGCTGCAACTACATAATTCATTAAATAGAAGATATGAGATCGATTAATCTCTCTTTTTATAAAATTTATCTGATGATAAAAAGGTATTTAAAATAAAATATATTTTTTTTAATAATATTTGTCTAAACAAAAAAAAACTGTCATTTAAAATTTATATGAAAATTTTCTACTTAAATCTTGGCAACAAGGATATAATAACGCGGAACGGAAATAGGTTTTGCTTTCTCAATCTTATCTCGACTTTTTAATAGTTTATGTTATTATTCTTGATTTTACATGGGTTTAAAAATTAAATTTTAATTTCGTTTTATTTTATTAAAAAAATTAATTATACTTAATAAATTAATTTAAATGTTTTTTAATATATTATTTATAAATAAATATTTATAAATTTATAATAATAATAATTATTAATTAAATATATATTTAATTTATTATATTTATATAAAAAATATGTAATTATTTGTATATATATAATATTTATATTATTATTATTATATATTATAATATTGTATTTAAGTATTTTATTATATGTATAAGTTAATTATTTTTTAACTTGTTATTTTAAAATATTAATAAATATAAAATATAATTTATAAGAAAAAATAAAAAATAAAAAATTTAATTATTAATTATTTTTAATTTAACATATAATTATTTTATTAAGATAAAATTCAATAAATAAAAAATAAAAATAATAAAAATAAAAAATATAACATAATAATACTTAATAAAAATAAACTAGAAATAATATTTAAAAAAAGATAAAAAAGTTAATTTTTTGTTTATGAAATTGACCAAAGATATTAGAAATATCAAATTGATTGAAAGATAAAAAAGAAAAAAATAACATTTTATTTACCAGAAGATATTGGAAATATTAAATTGATTGAAAAGATTAATAAAAGATGAAGAAATGTAAAGTGAAAAAAGAAATAATAATATAATGAATTAATTGATTAAAAGAGAGTAAAAAATTTAAAATATAAAAAAAATTATGTTATATATAAGATTAAAAAAAATAACTTAAAAAATTAATAATTTAAGTTTAAATTTTAATATAAATTCAAAATTGAAACAAGATTGAACAAAGATTTTATTATTTATTCCTTTCGCACCCCAACTTTTTAAAACAGAAAAATCTAAACTCACATTTATAGTCAATAAACTCAATTTTTTTTTATTAATTTGAGATGAAAATAGATAAATTCTAGAACTATATAATTGTCATCATCTCTAGTAGATATACAATTAAAAAATTAATAAATAAAAGTTTTATTCTTTTAGAAACCATGACATACTTATATTAATAATATAATCTATTATATTTTTCTATAAAATAAAAAAAATATGCCCACAACTATAGCCCTAGATGTCTTACACAAATTTGTTTAATTAAAGTAAAAGGATAGTCTTATTCTAATTGAACTAAAGATAACTATTTCTGAAATAAGTAATTTTATTTAAGATATTACTTATTTAAGAACAGAAACTTGTTTGTTTTTAAAATAAAAAGACTAGACAAACACATTATTTGCATATATAAAAAATTTTCTTCAATAACAAGAAATAGCACATCCTTTCCCAAATCAGACTACATAAGGCACTTGTTAGCATTGCTGGAAGGCAAAGGTTGACCACGATATCTAGGCCAGCCTCAGCAAAGGATCACCAACATTACAGCAGCATTGGAAATTAGTAAAATTTATTGCTGATGCCTCCATTTTATTACTTGAATTTTATGAATTACATCTATCCCATTGACATCTAGATATACACAACCAAGACTCTGAGCTAAAATTATATAAATCTCTCGTCTCCCGTTGGAAAAAAAAAGAGTAATCAATATTAACTTACAGTGTACAACAAATCATCGCCGACTTCTCATATTTTACCACCAAACAGCAATAGGAAGTAAGCAGCATCAACTCAGACTGTGTGTCCTTCACCAGGATGGCTCTGGTTCCTTACAGTTGGACCAGCTCGGTCACGAAAGGAAAATTGCCAGTATCAGGCTCATGCATGCATCACCAGCCATGCCAATAATTTCTCATTGTCATATTGCAAACAAGCCGTAGTCATGTGAATCACATAATTCTCATAAGCCAGATAAAATTCTGATATGGATCAAATTTGGACACAAAAAATGTGTCCGTACTGTGAAAGTTTACATTTTACCCATATATACAGTGTATAATAATGTATTGCGTGCGTGGTTACAAAAATGGTATAACTACATATAATCTCAAACTCTAAAATGTTACTTCCGACATAAAATTTAAAATCACGGATGTACTACTAAACTTAAATTGGGGTTAATCCCCTAAGAATTATGATAGAGGAGTTTATGAATGTCTACATAAGTGGAAGGGGATGCTTCTAGATTTTACAAAATCAGGCCAAGCAGAAATTTTCCTGGGGTCAAACTAGACGAGAATTGTAATCAAGTAATAAGGTCCCAGATTCCTCATCTAGTTACCTATCCACCTCCTTTTCCGGGGTGGTCGCTCTTGTTTGACCTCTGAATCCATTTGATTTTCATTTTCCGCTGAAGGCTGAGGTTCTCCCTCTAACTTTCTGATAACTAGGGTCTCCTTCTCACTTGCCATTGGAACCCTGAACCGCTCACTACGCTTCTTCAACTTCTCGACAGTGTCAGGGTGCTGATCCTCTAGATCTTTGGCTTTAGCATCCTTAATCTCCATATCTACTAAAGCCTTCCCCTCAATTGATAACACTGGTGGGTTATTGGTATAAACTAACTCGGTAGAATTGTCAACAGGTTTCCCAGGTTCAGAAGACCTATCATTATTATCCTTATCAAGGTCCTTGAAGTTTAAGGAAGACGATGACTTGCTGCTGATATTGAAATCCCTTTCCTTATGGCTTGTCCAGCGTTCATATTTAGATCTTCCTCGTTGAGAATCTTTCTGTTCATCATCTGAATTGTTTTCCCCATGTTTTTTTCTCGACAGCCGATGCCCTGGAATTTCATCCTCTGCATGTTCTGCATCGCCAGAGCCTTTCATGCCCTTCGAAAACAGAACAGAAGACAAAATATATGTCAGAATCGGAAGAACAAATAAAAAATTATTCTTCAATCACTTTTTGGTTCGAAAGAGACAGAAAGAGCAAGAAAAAATGCATTTAAAATAGATGCCCAAGGCTTCACTAAAAATATAGAATCACACTCATGTGAAATAAGCATCAAAATTTCATTTTTCCGAGAGTACAAATTTTCAGCCAGAGTCATGCTAACAACATTAACCTATCTGTCAAATCCAATGACACATCGAAGGAATTTGAAAATCTGGCTAAGGTCCAACTCAAGATCATGGCGAAAAAAGAGAAAAAAAGTGAGAGATGATAAGCTTTTCATATCTAATCAGATTATCCAGAGCAATCGAGTAATAGCAAGATTTCTTCCAATCATTAATCACTTGAATGTCATTTCTACAGGGATCAAGCATAATACTGACAGTGACAGATAATATCAGTCAAACAAATAATAACAATCTATTGTGAAAAACATTAAGGACCAAATCTATTGTGAAAAACATTAATAACAATATTTTGCTAAATGATCATATTTTCTGCTTTCTACCTTTCTCCCTAGGCATGAAATTGGGGAAAGAGGAACTATGTGAATGTGAAAATTAGATGCTCTTTGCCAAGCCTGACCTCTCATACAAAATATTCAGCCAGGAACCAAAATTTCAGATAAATTGGTACTGGAAATGGCAACAGCACATCACTTATTTTTTCTACGGTCAGGCCCTAAAATTTACCGATTATTTCAACCATTATTATAGATCCATACTCCTACAAGGCACACATACAGATGGATAAATTTCAGATAAGTGTCACATTTTAAATATATAAGCATCAAGTATACCTTGTCATTGATCTGACTACTTTGATCTTCTGAACTTCTCTTGGAAATGCCTAAACTACCAACAATAGTTTCTTTGCTTTTCTTTGAGCCTTCATCACGCTTTCTCTCATGAACTCTTTGACTATCTAAAGCATTAGTGGCACAATAACCTCGAGTACTTGATTTTTCCTCCCGGGATCGCCTTTCATCACTATTGTAATGATTTCCATGAACAAAAGCATCATCATGCCCCTTGCGAAGTGGGCTTTCACTTTTATTTTGGTCTGTTGTTTTCAATCGGTCACTGGGTCGCATTGCTTCTCTAGGTTGGTATTCTTTCTCAAAAACTTTATGTTCATCCTTAGCCCTAACATGGCCAACCAATATCTTTTCAACTCCTCCTCCACTTCTTACAGAACACTGCCCTCCTCTTTCTAGCTTGAATGGATGTTCTTCCCGAGGCTGTTTCACCTGATGCCACTCCTCTCTATCTCTCTTCCTATTACCCCTCTCCCTCAGTAGCCATGCCTCATTTTTTTGCCTGGCAGCATATTGTACATCAAGGTTATCTCTACTTCTTTGATGACCATCCCTCTTCCGTGGATCCAATATTGAATCCTTTTCTGGCTTGTGCTGACTGACATTTTCTCTATAGCCACGCACAACTTCTTTGGCTACATGCTCCCTCTTAAGATATTCCTCATTCGTCCTCCTCTTGTTATGGAAATCCTCCACAGCTTCATGTTTATCTTTTAAGCTATCATCTCTTTCCTTGTATCTTGAGACTCTTGACCTGACATCCTTGTCATATGGAACCCTGCAGCTACCATTACCCAACTCTTTTCTTGAATGAAATGTATTCTCATTGTTGCTTCTCTCATTTTCCCGAACCCTACCCCTGTCCCCTCTGTCCTTTCTGGGCTCATCATTTTTACCGCTCCTACCAAAGTGATCATCTTCTCTACATTCCCAATCCATGTCAGAGCTAACCCTATCCCTTTGACAATCAAATCCATCAATCTTTATGCGTGATTGATGTGCTGAGCTAGGGTGCCGATCTTTGTGAGGGTATGAATCCTCTCTACTTCTAATTACCAAACCATTTCTCTCTGGTTTCTTTCCCCCATCCTGCTTTCTTCTACGGAATGCCTGATCATTTTCATCAGATTGCATTCTAATGCTACCCAGATTGACAGATTTGGGATCCTCAACTACTTCAAAACCATCCCATTGCTTATGATAATCCCTGCTGCTTTCTGATTTTGCTCTGCTGTTGTCGCTGCTTCTTACAGATTTTGAGTCCTCCCAGTCACTTCCATCACCAAGACAAGGTTCCTCAACTTGAGATGTTATTTTCTGACTCTCTGCTACCCCATCCTTAATGGTATCACTGTTGTCCACTATATTTAAATCAATGTCTTCCTTTTCCACCGTGGAAGTTCCATCAGTTGTCCCAGTTTCCTCAAGCTGCTTGCTTTTTATGCTGGATTCCTTTAGATCTTCAATGGCAGGAAATGACAAGTGCGCATTATGCCTACCTTTCATGCTTTCACTCGACTCTTCTTTTTTATTGTCAATAATTGTCACTTCTCGACTACAAGTAATACGAGGAGACTGATCACATTCACTTCCTTGCATTTGCCTGCAAATAGAAAAACAGAGATGGTATTAATGAATAGAAGATTAAAATAACTGAACCCCCATCGAGAGCAACCAAACCATGCAAAGAATAACAAAATAAGTTGCTGTCCTTAAAATGAAAATTTCAACTAATATACCAAAAACTTAATCACTTGAAAAACCATCTCTTCATGGAATGTAAGGTTTCCAGGCATCTAAGAAGGTGTTTGACAATCCTTATTCATTTTATTTTAAATATAAATTTGACAACTAATGTTTTTACCAAATTAAGTTCTACATTGAGCAGTTGCTCCAGCTTGATCTTAGATTCAATTTAACCTTCTTTTTCTCTAAGAGGAGTTAGATATGTTTCATTATGTTCATACAATGTTTTGATAGGACATGGAAAGTTTATGTGAGAAGGAATAAGAGGCCAACGTAGACCAACTTGGCCGGAACTAATAGTGTTTTGGTAGTAATTGTGTTTTTAGGCAATTATTTATGGATCTGAATTATCATTTTTCTGTCCTATTTCTGTCGTTGTGCAGTTATTTAGGAAGTTATAGAATGGTTGTGTATGGACTTTGTAGGTGGTTTCATTAGTTTTACTCATTGCTGGATGCCAGAGCCTTGTCAGGGTGAAACTGTGTTGTCTATGTTTTATACTATAATTCTGGCCTAAAATTTCAGTAACAAGTACATAATTTAGCATGCTTATTCAACTTTAACACGTTCAAAATATGTTTATTTCTCCAATTCAAAAAAGTAGAACTCAAATTTAACTGTTTAGGCATATAAAATTAATGCAAAGTAACCTTCAGCACTCAAAAATCATGCTGCCTAGTGGATTAAAATTACATTTGTTGCTCATACCAAACCTTCGCATGAATTAACTAGTTAATAGTGATATCTTATGCCGCCCATAGTTCACAATGCATTACGCACACAAACTCCGCATAAAAAGGGTCAAAGTGGAATGAAGTTAAGAACGGATTTGAATTTAAATGGGATTTGCTGAATTATGTATATCTATCCAATGTAAAGAACATAATAGGACCTGGGAGTTTGGTGCCTAGAATCAGAGTAGTCGATTGTCTTTTCCTGGGGGAAGGGCAAATTTTCATCTTCTACAGGTATGTTAATAGGACGAGCTTTCATATTTGGCATTCTTCTTCCAGTCAGCAATCTCTTTTGACCATTGAAGGACTCAGACTCTAACCTTGGAATTTCATGCCCAGCTACATGGTCCTCGCTAAAATCCTTTCTCTGGGGCTCACCATCCTCTTGTTCATCTTGAACATCAATTTTCACATTGGAATCATCATCTGCTGGATCCTGTAAAACAATCTGTTCACAAAAATACCGTGAGTAACTAGTACACTGCACATGCAGGATACTACATAAAAAGACCAATCTAATTACTGCATGTGCTTAATGAAAATAGCACAAAAACCTCAATGATTGCATCCGAATCACGAATTCGAGGAGGTCGAGTGTCAATGGAAGGAAGACGTTCACCGGAACCACTTTCCACCTGTATTGCTCTCCCATTTGGCTGGTAAAATAAAATGAATAATATCAATAACTCCTACCAACATAAGAAGGACTTGTTTGATTTAGTTTTGACTTTTAGTTTCTAAAAATAGATTTAGATTAATTTTGAAAAACTGTTTTTGAAAATAAGTTGGAAAAAAAGTCTTGTTTGATAGCTCTAGTTTGAAAACCATTTTGATCGAAAGAGGATGACATCAAGACAATAAAAAGTCCCAACGAAAGTTGAAAAACAACATTGATAATTTCATGATGATGATATGGACGATTTAGTGTAACGGTTGGTGAAGGCATAAATTCCACTAATGAAAACAGAAAATCATTTTTTCGTTTTCTAGTTTCTAAAACTAAAAAACAAAAACAGTTTTTGAAAACTGTTTTAACAAAACAATTATCAATAAAGCTTTTTTATTTTTTAAAAACTAAAAAATGAAAACTGTTTTTAAAAACTATAAACAAACAAGTCCTAAGAAAAGTAGAAAATTTTACAAATATTTTATAGCGTATTGACTAGACACAAGCAGACCAATACGCCAGAAAAAAAAAAAAAAAAGGTATCTGGCCACAATATAATAGAGGATTTCAATGAATAGTAAAAATACATACAATTGGTGGTCGCATAGGTCCAGAACCTTTTATGAGATCATTTTGTCCAGACGTTACAGAATTAGCATTATTAACAGGAACATCATGTATTATACCAGAAGCTGCAGCTAATTCAGGGGGCAAATCTGGATCATAGTCCTGGAATGAAATCAAGTAGATGATTTATTTATTTTAAATAAGCACTGGACCAAAACAACACAGAACAAATGTAATAAGGAACTACTTTTAACAAACACTAGCCTCGTTACCTGCTCTGTTCGACCACTCTCATAAACATGGATCTTGCTTTGCATTGAAGACTCCAGACGTAGTTGTTCCTAGAACATCAAACAAAGATTTTCTCAGTCTACACTAAATTTATACTGGAAAAAAAAAAATGTAAGCAAAAAAAATTACCAGTTGTTTGCAATAATCTTTCCAGGTGTCCTCATTCAAACCGAAGTTGAAAAAATCTGATACATCAACACTGGGATATTTCCATGGTTTCTCCTCAAAACTATCAATATCAACACTAAATATTGTCCTGAAAATAAGCGGCAGGTTAAATAAGCAATCACTGGGAGACTCACCAGTACAGTAATAAAATGAAGGATGGCGGACGGGATTCAAACTAATGGGAGTTAAATAATCTTGCATCAGAGATATAGTTGCACTTTAAGATTCAAACTCAACAATAGAAAACTAACATGTGCCGAACTTCATGAAAAATAAAGAATATCTTATTTCTCAGCTATATGTCACTTGACATAGAAAATGTTCATCCGAGGGAAAACACGGGTAAACTAATAAAATGGAGGAGGTATAATCAACTAAGGAGATATGCAACATGAAAACAAATAATGATGAGATCTGACAACTTTTTCATGCAATATAATAGAGTATCATAAAACTCATTTACTTGCCATATCTACATTTTATAGTTCAAATTAAAATTACCCATTTTTCATAGAGATCAAAAGGCAAACAAAAAAGCAAAGAATATTAGCATTCCTTCCACTCAGAAACCACATGTTTGGGATCCCAAACACTTCTCCCCTAAATGCTTAACAAAAAGGATTTCAAGTTAGCAATTGACAACAATTTTTTCATTTGGCATCTTAATACAGCTACAGACATAAAACTGTCAATTAAAATTTACTTTTGTGAAGGAAGCATGAATTCCAATCCACCACCAAAACCCCGCCCTGCAGCATTGTGTCCCCGCATAGGTAATCCAGAACCTGCTTGCAATCCTTTTTGCATGGCAGCAGCACCTTTTACTCCAGCTGATCTCCAGTCCCCTCTGCCATGACCAGCCACAGGATTCATGTTAACTAGTGGACGAATCTGACCAGGAGGACCTCCTGGAGTAGAACTAGTTACTGCAGGTATTGATGCTGCACCAGGTCTGACATACTACATTACAATTAAAAAAAGTGAAAAACGCAAATCATTAGATATTAATTCTTTCCTATTTCATAATCCAGTTTATCACGTCTTTATACTTAAACCAAGGAAACACTATTACAGGTCTTGAGTAAATGAAAGATTTAACTGTCCAATAAATGGAATACAGACAGACTCTTGTCTTCAATAAAAGATTAGCTTTAAGATCAACATTAATCAATGAACCAACAAAGAGGAAGTAGAACACCCACCCAAATTTAGAAAACCTAATTACTGACAACGACCCAAAGGAGACAAAAGTAATTTTGGTTCAAGATGCATAGAAATACATAAACTATAGAAACAAACAATTGTCCACAAGGCACCACTAGAATGTGCTGGGAGAGCCCCAACTCACTTTGGAGCTTCCTAATGCAATTTGCTTCCATCCCGCTAGAATGGAAGTGAATTTTTTTAACTTTTGCGTAGGATTAGGAATTTTATACTAAATTCTCCCATATGCTTACTGTTTAGATAAAAATTTCAACGCAGAAACCACTTTGCTCCATACTCACTTATCACCAAAATCAATTTCATCTAAAACAAGTTGGTAAATGCTCACCCAAATATAATTAATAACCAAAATAGTTTGAGCCAATAAACTTTTCAGTGATTTTTTTCTTTTTTTTGGTTCTAATGTATTTAAAGATTCTAGAAAGAAACAACCCCCATAAATCAGGTAAAGTAATTTCATAATCAAAAATAATATTCCCAGTAGATGAAAAACTCGTCACAGAAGAAAACTGCAAGGAGCCACAATGAAAACATCAGGTAAGTTTCATTGATTTAATCCGTCTTCTGCATAGCCATTTGTCAGTTGTGCTAACAAAAAGATGAGGAATACCAGCAACACACTTTCTAACATACTGTCGATTGTTAGGTGAATTTTATACAGGTCACTAAATAAGGGGGTTTCCAAATATATGTAGATTTTGTGGAGTGGGACCCACATGAAATTCATTTAACAATAGTAAAAATGTTCATAAGAAAAGGAGCAGGCTGAGTAACATCAATATCCCATATGATTGGTAAATTCTCTGATCCTTTTATGCTATGTTTGTGGTTATGCTATTGTTAGGTGAAGGCTCACAAATGCATTTTATATCTCCCGTGTCCCTTCACCCAAGAGTCATTCTTTAAGCTTGGAACTACGCTAGTCAAACCTAACTTCTGCTAAAATTACTTCGAAGGAAGGTAAACTGAGTATGTGCTCGTAAAAACTAAAACACTATGGTCCTGTTTTTGTACGGTGTTTATATAAAAAGAAAAGGAAAAGGTAAAATGAATTGAGTTTATTCTATAATCTAAAATCAACTTTTGCATTTCAGTTTTTAGATAAGTTAGACAAGAAAGTTTCTATTAAAAAGCACAAAAGTTGATTTTAATTTATGAAAGAAACTCGATTCATTTTTTCCTTTTAATTTTCTTCTTTCATGTGTTTATATAAAAAAATCCAAACAGGCCTATGTGAAGAACCAAAATATCCAAAAAGCTTAGGAAGGCTTTTGGATTTTTTATAGTGGATTATTAGTTAGATTCCAAACTCAGAATCATCTCAGTATGACTGCCCTATTAGTTCATGTTTCACAATCATGCAGTGTTTAGAATCCAGGTGCACAATTTCCATATATTTCTCAATTCATCAAACAAAATCAGTCAATGTGGTTTGGACATGTACAAAAAAGGCAACAAGAAGCATTAGTTAGAAGAGTAGATTGCATGAATTTTAGTTACGTGAAAAGAGGTAGAAAGAGACCAAGCAAGACATTGCAAGCAGTTGTCAAGAGGAATTTCATGTTAAATAACATCTCTAAGAATTTGGTTTTCAAATGAACTTAATGATGTCATCTGATCCACACAACCAACCAACCTAACGAGGTAAGACTTTGTTGTTGTCATTTCAATTCAATTAACAAAGATACAAAAATCAAGTAGTTTCTATTCCCCAGAAACTCAAAAACATCCACCAAAGGAATAATTCAGTAAAACTGTTCTGTAGCCTGCACCACCTTATGAAGGAGCATTTATTTGATAAGTTGATTAAAGTACCGGTTTAAAAATGATTAATGTCAACATGGTTTAATATTTAGAGTAACCCATCCATCTTCCTTGAATAGAAAGCTTGATAACAAGGGAGAAGGAAAACTAACACTTATACTTCAAGACTCACCAAATGCAAAGGCACCGGGTTACCAAAGAGCAGGGAGCACTATTTTGCATTTACATTTTCACAATGCATCCGTTTGGGAAATAACCGTGACTCACAACTGTGCAACATGAATGATCTTCTATATAGTTTTTGCGTATTTACTTGTGAATAAACTAATTTTAGTTTATTAGAGATACTTTAATCCATCCTTCCTTCTTATTTTATTTTTTCCCATAAGTGGTTATGCTTATCCAACCAAGACCATAATTATTTTTCCTTTTCATTCAAATTTCACAAGAAGAAAGGTTGCCAAGGTTCCAAGTTACTAAGATACCATACAGAACATCGCTCACATAACGTCATGCCTCGATATACATTCATACATACATATGCATACATACACGCATGCATACATATATATTCTGTAATCTGCATGTGACAACTAATATATATGCTCGTTTGGTCCTTGAATCCAAGGCTCAGCTACTGTACCCCAAAAGAAACGTGGAAAGGATAACAAAAAAAACAAGTCAACTTTTTCATTGGTGTAACGGTGTAAATCACAGTATGTAACAGCATTATTAGTAATAAAAGAAGAAATATTACAAAATCATTTGCATTGGCTTCTTTCTATTTTCACTGCCTTTTAGGCTTCTTTTTTTCAGCTATTCACAACAACGAAGCACAAAACTAACACAACACCAGCCGAATTCGATGATCAAACTTCATTTACTACTATTCTTAAATGTACAATTACAATGCCACTGACCTTAAACTGAGAATGAAAGGGATGATGATAACCCTGATTGCTGTACCCAATTTTCGGCGCAACAGCTTTCACCGACTCTCCCACATCCTTCTTCTCACTATCAATCGGTTGCGTCGAATTTTCGCCCCAATCGCGATCCTCCGCGTCGCCGTCTGCCACCACAACATCGAGGCCGCCGTCGTCGCCGGCGCCCGTGAGGCCGTTGTCATCCAAGACAATCTGCAGGTCATCCTCGCTGTCATCGCTGTCGTCCCAATCATCGCCCCCGCCGATTCTTCTGGAAGCTTCTTCGGCGACGCCGGTCAGCCCTGGAATGAGCGGTGCGTCATCGATTTCCTCGTCCTCAATGTCGAATTTTACGTCTCTGTCGATCGAATCAACGGAAGGTTCATTGGCGAGGTTGGAATCGGCGATTGCGGGTTCCACGTGGCGAGGTGGTTGTTGAGGTGATTGTTGGCGGGGAATGGGTTGGGCTTTGGGGGGAGAAGGAGAGGAAGGAGCGAAGGGCTGAAGAACATCTGTGTATAAACCACCGAAATCGTCATCGTCTTCCATGGCGATGGTGTTGGAAAAAGAGTATTGAGGTTAGAACTTAGAAGAAGGGTTTTGTTTTGTTTTGTTGCGAGGTTTGGGAAACGGCTAAGTGCCAAAGCCCAATCTTCATCACCTTCTTAACGTGGCTTTTTATCGTTATACTCTCGTAAAATATGCCAACACATTCATATTCTCACTCTCTCTGACACGTACAACTTCTTTTAGTTGGAAATTTTTATAGAAATTATAGTACTAGATGCCTTTTATTTTAAAATTTTGGATGCTTAAGATTTTTATATGTTGCAATCAGAGTTATAGTTTATTAGCAAAATAAATAAATAAAGAATTGTCACCAAATATTTATTTTGTGGAAAAATATTGAAAAATGATCCTTCATATGATATTAGAGATTTGTTTGAGAGGATGGGAAATATATTAGCATCCTAAATATCTTCGGGAAAACGTTTCCATTAATTAATACAAAATTACATAAAATCGTACTTCTCTATCTCTCTAAAAAGTATATACTTCTTATCTTTTTTTTTTTAAGTATACTCCAATTGAAAGAATAAATAAATATAGAAATCTTGAAAAATATATTACAAAAATAGAAGAGTAATTGGTATGAGTTATTTTTTGATCGATGATTAAGAAATTAAAGAGGGAAGATCATTAAAATATAAAAACACAATACATTAAATAAATAAAATATAAAAATAAAGTTATAGTGAAGGAAGTAATGTATAAAGAGGTTTATAGAAAAGGTTATAATATAACTACTTGATAGGAGTAGTTCTAAGTAACATGTACATGAAGAGAAGTATTTACAAAATATAATTGTTCAAAAATTTTAATTTATAATTTTTTTTTATTTTCACTTTTGATTTTATTTTTATAACACCTGAGCTATTAAAACAATAAATAATATTAATATATATATATATATATATATAAGATAAAATAAGGTAATCAAAATAATTGTTAAATTGTATAATTTACATTCTAAAAAAACACTATATAAAAATAAATATTTTCAATAAAATTCTTTCTCATTTAAATTGTTATTTTAGTTTATTTTCTCCACCAGTTTTTATTTTATTTTTAATAACCAATTATATTTATTTTTCTTACCCATTTACTTTCAAACAATTTATTTTACATTTCTTTAGTCTTCTTACAAATTACTTTAAATATTACATATTATATTAAACATAAAAATGGAATAAAAGCGGTCTTTAATTTAAATCTATTATGTATTAAATTTTAAATAATATTAAAAACTCACACATTTAATGTTTAAATGATTCAACCCATAAACTTACATATTAAATTTTATTTTTATTACTTCAAGGGAAATTTTCAAATAATATTAAAAACTTACATTTAATGTTTAACTAATTCATCCCATAAATTTACATGTGAAATTTTATTTTTATTACTTCAATATTTAGGGAAAACAGACATTTCTTTAGTTTAAAAATAAAGTAGACCTATGGTTATTAATATTAAAATATTTTGTTATTAGATATATTTAATAGTTTTATTTAATATTTGTAAGAAAATACTTAATCTCTCAGGTAATTAATACTAAAGAAAACAATATTTTTATTTCATGCATAAAGTTTATTTTAGCAAATGACTATATAAACTCTTAAAATTGAACTAGCATTACTCAATTATTTTTATAAATTATTTGTTGTGCTACGATAGTAATTTTTAATTCAAACCCAACAAAAATCCAAATCTTTTTATTTGTAATTATATTTATTTTGATAAAAATATATTAATGTATATTTTAAAATATTCTAAAGTAGTAATTTTCTTTTCTTCAAGTGTATTTGGTGAAGTAGAAGGAGTAAGGTGGAGAGGAAAAATGGTTGTGTGTTGAAGAAAAAAAAACAAAATAGGGCATTCATTATGTGAGATGAATTTATTTTTTATTATTAAATATTTTATATATAAATAATAAATAAATTTAATTGAATAAATAAATTTATAAAATTTTGTTTAAATATTTATTGTTGAATATATTATTATGTTATATATGTATATGTATACAATTTTGAGTTATAAGTCTTCAATCTTTTCCAAATTATATTCTCCTCCTGGGCCAAAAATAACTCTTTACACAGGAGGATAAAACAAAGTATACCACTAACACAATTTTATTCACGCTCACAATAATAAACCACCAAAAGTATATGTCACTTAAGAAAAAAAATAATTTGCACAAAAAATATATGCATCTCACTTTCCATTTCACAAGAGAAAAAAGTAGCATCACTATATGCACTAAAGATAAATTTCATAATATATTTTCCAAACACACAAAATAAAATAGCATAAGAGAACAATCCTCTTGCAAGTTATTTTACTTCATATTTAGAGTTTGTTTATTATTTTTAAGGTTTTTTTTTTATTATTTAAAAATTTTAAATTTTATTTTATAATTGTTTTTAAAACTATTTATTTTCTTAATTTTTAAAATTAAAAATTATGATTAAATAGATTCTCTATTTCATTTTTTAATTTCTTTTAATAAAAACTAATATTTTTATCAATCACTACTCATTTTATCACTAAATATATTAAATTTATTTTTTAATTTTATGATGATTTTTTTATGACTCTCTTTTATTTAAAACAATTTTTAAAACTAGAGTTACCATATAAATTTTTCCTAATTTATTTTCATTTTTTTAAATTATTATATATAAAAAACTAAAATAAAAAATAAGATGGTGAAATTATTTATAATTAATAAAATTTAAACATTTACTTTAAATGTACTTATACGTAGTTATACTTAATGTATGGTAAAACTACAAATAAAAGATGAGTGAATTTCACCAAGAAGGTTGTCATCTGATACGGAAGTGGATGCATGCCTCTTCCACTTCCTCCCCAACAACACGTGCAAGTGTTGCGCGCCCTCCTTCACTGCACTCGGAGCAAAGAAATTTGCAGTGGTCGAGCTTTGCACGCTCGTATTCTCAGAAACGCTTCTTTCTCCTTCACTCACATCGCCAACGCCCTCATCAACCTCTACGCCAAGTGTGGTCACTTCGCAGAAGCCAACATCGTATTCGACAGCATCATCCACAAGGACGCCGTCTCATGGAACTGTCTCATCAATGCATTCTCCCAACAACAAGCCTACGCATCTTCTTCTTACGTCATGCGCCTCTTTCGCCGCATGATGGTCTGCACCACCGTTCCCAATGCCCACACCTTCGCCGGCGTCTTCACCGCCGCCTCCAACCTCTCCGACGCCCTCGCCGGCCGTCAGGCCCACGCCCTCGCCGTCAAAACTGCCTGCTCCGATGACGTCTTCGCCGCGAGTTCGCTTCTCAACATGTACTGCAAAACGGGCCTCTTTGTGGAGGCGCGTGAGCTGTTTGATGAAATGCCTGAGAAGAATGCGGTTTCTTGGGCTACCATGATTTCTGGGTATGCTTCTAAGGAGTTTGCTTATGAGGCTTTTGAGCTCTTTGAACTTTTGCGTCGTGAAAAAAAAGGTGAAAATGAGAATGAGTTTGTGTTCACTAGTGTTCTTAGTGCTTTGACGTGTCACGTGTTTGTGGACACTGGAAGGCAGGTTCATTCTCTTGCGGTGAAAGACGGGTTGGTTTGCTTTGTCTCTGTGGGGAATGCGCTTGTGACGATGTATGCCAAGTGTGGGAGCTTGGAGGATGCGCTCAAGACTTTTGAGTTGTCGGGGAGTAAGAATTCGATCACGTGGTCGGCTATGGTTACTGGTTTTGCTCAGAGTGGGGATGCTGATAAAGCTTTGAAGCTGTTTTATGACATGCATCACTCTGGAGTTTTACCTAGTGAGTATACTCTCGTTGGGGTTATCAATGCTTGTAGTGATGTTTGTGCTATTATGGAAGGGAGACAAATGCATGGTTATTCCTTGAAGCTGGGGTATGAATCCCAGTTGTATGTTTTGTCGGCTTTGGTGGACATGTATGCGAAGTGTGGTAGCATAGGGGATGCTCGGAAGGGTTTTGAGTATATTCAACAACCTGATGTTGTTCTTTGGACTTCAATCATAACGGGGTATGTACAAAATGGGGATTATGAAGGTGCTTTGAATTTGTACGGTAAAATGCAGATGGGGCGAGTTATCCCCAATGATTTAACTATGGCGAGTGTTCTAAAGGCTTGTTCTAGCTTGGCAGCTCTAGATCAGGGAAAGCAAATGCATGCTGGGATTATTAAGTATGGTTTTAGCTTGGAAGTTCCGATTGGAAGTGCTCTTTCTGCCATGTATGCAAAGTGTGGAAGTTTGGATGACGGGCACCGCATCTTTCGGAGGATGCCTTCCAGAGATGTAATTTCATGGAATGCAATGATATCTGGACTTTCTCAAAATGGTCGTGGCATTGAAGCCCTGGAGTTGTTTGAGGAGATGTGCTCGGAGGGAACAAAGCCTGATAACGTCACATTTGTGAATCTTCTTTCTGCTTGTAGTCATATGGGTTTGGTGGACAGAGGGTGGGTTTATTTTAAGATGATGTTTGATGAGTTTAACATTGCTCCTACAGTAGAGCATTATGCTTGCATGGTTGATATCTTGAGCCGTGCTGGACAACTCAATAAAGCAAAAGAGTTCATTGAATCAGCAACGGTTGATCATAGTTTGTGTCTGTGGCGCATATTATTAGGGGCCTGTAAGAACCATCGTCACTATGATCTTGGTGCTTATGCTGGTGAGAAACTAATGGAGTTAGGTTCGCCAGAATCGTCTGCATATGTGTTGTTATCGAGTATTTATACAGCTTTAGGAAAATGGGAAGATGTGGAGCGTGTCAGGAGGATGATGAAGGCCCGAGGGGTGACTAAAGAACCTGGTTGTAGCTGGATTGAATTGAAAAGTTTGACCCATGTATTTGTTGTTGGAGACAATATGCACCCACAAATTGATGAAATAAGGTTGGCGTTAAAATTGTTAACCAAGTTGATGAAAGATGAAGGATATCAACCTCTTCTTGATCCATTGCTTCCTGAAATTATCAGTGATGATTTGAAAGGTATTATTTGATAAAAGTTCCCATTTTTACAAATTAATGTTTACAATTAATCGATGGAGTGATTTTTCTATAGTTTGGATTGGACCTTGGTGTATGGTTTAATCCTACTGTTAGAAATGCTTCTTAATAACTGTATTGAAAATTTGAGATAATTACGAACCAGCATATTCTTGTCCTTCAACTTATTTGCTCCTGCATTTATTTTCTCTGTGATATATTGGTTTTATTCTGTTTCTTAATTTTTTTTTTCACTTTATTTTCGTTTCCATCATTCATGTAGATCAAGAAGGCAGCGATGAAGTACAACTCAGGGTTTGTGGTGGCTTGTAGCAAGATTGAAGAGATGATCAACACATGCCCAATGTAAGACTATCGTCCATTATTTTCAAAAACCTCTCTTTTATGGTCTCCCTTTTATATCAATTCTCTAATTAACATATTTGTAGCTTGCTTCTACGTATATTTTTGAAGTAATTTGTCCTTTTCTGTTTTGCATATACAAATAAGTTTCTCTACGTTAAAAATTGTACCTTTCTCCAGTCCTGGAAGATATCATTGCTAACTATTCTTTTCTCCCTTCACCAAAGTCTCAACTTAATGGTGGTATATTGCATTTCAGGATGAGAGATGCAATTAGTGCATTGGTGTTGTTATCTTGTGCTTTTTTCTGGTTGGTTAGCTGAGAGGATTGTCAGTCATACAGAAGCATGGTAATTTAGAAGCCAATGATTCAAAATCTAGTCCACAGCCAAAAGTTTCAAGCTGCGACAGTTATTCATTAGTTCGTTGGTCAGGCTGTTTATGGGGCAAATACCAACACGAATCACGATCAGAAACCAGAGGAAAGAGGTCAGTAGCCATTTAATACTCTTAGGACAATCAGTGGGACACTAAGAGTGAAGCAGCCAGCCGATTAACAAATTATACTTGCTTGTGTTCCAGCTATATAATGCGTTGGGCCGCGTTGGGTCATTTGCATTGCACTTCAGGCAACTATATGTGTTGGCAATATATTATTAGACTGCAATGTTGTCTCTTGTTTTGTTTAAATAGGGCAAGCTCATACTATCATATACACCAAAAAAAGAGCTAAGGTAAATAGAATTACTACAGCCCCATCATAGCTCATAAAACTCAACACCTAGAGAAACCCTTTGCAAACAGGGGGTATGGATAAAATTCAAGAACTGCACATTGATTTTTGGTATAACACTTTTTGTTCCTTGACTTTTTATTTCTTGCTTTAATAGAGAGTTTCCACACATCTAAGATGTTCGTTAAAACTACATGATGAAAAAATTGTTTTGCTAAAGCCTGTTTCGTTGTTGTAATCCACGGATCATTGTTATCTTCAAATCCCACTTGCTGTCTGTGTATATAGTTTTATGCACAATCCTCAACGGTCCAAAGCAGTAGCTCGAGGATGGGATTCTTCAGCAGTGGCATCACCCTCCATCCTTCTCATTCATTGTAGTAATATTTACTGATAAGTGTAATTACACGATCTACAAATAAGTTTTTTTGTTTTGATTTTAACAAGGTTGTCGCGGCATCTGATATGATTTTCTAAATTGTTGGTTCTTTTACGTTTACTTGATTTGTTGAAGGAAATATGTCAAATAACTTAATGTGATGGTCATTTAAGGCTAAAGCAGTTCATATATGACAATAGCACGACTCGTGAGATTGTATCACAATAAGGCACACCTGCATCTAACAAAAGCAACCTGCTTATAAATCAATTGGGGTTGCGGTATCTGCAATATTTTGTTGTGGAGCATGTTTTCAGTAAAATGAAAAATAGTACTTGCATATCATTATCGCTGAATACTAGTGGCATGGCTCGATGGTCACTCAAAACCCTCCCTGAACTCTTTGTTTACTATTTTGTTATTTTTAGCCTATAGCTCATTTGCAATTTTGGACGATCGCATGTAATTTTGTCAAATATCTGTGGCAGCCATTTTTTTTAACTGTATCTTAGTTTGGGATATTTGTTTTTGCAATAATTGAAAAAAATCGTGCAAAACAACATAGGTAAGTTTCGGTGTCAGGAGCGGTACTCGATAGTTTTAACCACAATATAATCGAGTATTTGTGATGTTAGAAAAATATCCCAGCAACTATGCATTGTAACATAGAGTGTAAAACCAACTTTTAAGTTCAACAAATTATATATCTTTATAGAAACCAGTATGGCAACAGAAATGGGAGTGACATATGCAGGGAGACATGATCTACTAAGCTTCCTTAAATAATTACGCATTTGATTAACTAGGTTTGATTCCAATAAAAAGAGACATGTAAAATAAAATAAAAATATACCTTTAATTTAAATTAATTTAGGTACCTCACGTTTTAATAGTTGAAAAATTAAGGTTTGATATATTTGTGCCCTCTTTGTATACTTTATCACTTTAAAAGTCACAAACGAACTAATTGAGTGTATTTAGAGCATATCTCCATCCTATCTCTATGGACTTAGGTATATTTGATTATACGATATATATTTCCTGTCTTTTTGTCGATGCATAATTTCTTTTGCTGTTTTGTTATACAACGAAGAAAAATAAAAATTAACTTAATTTTATACAAAATAGACAACATTTTCCATCTCTTGGTCAATCCTAGAAAGGCATGGTCGAAATCCCATCATTCAAATTTGGGTTATGGCCCATATGCGAAAACGGTAATAAGGGCCCAGATTGTAAGAAGGCAGTGGACGCGTGCCTAGTTTAGTTTGTTTCTGAAGCTGAAACTGAAACTGAAACAAGGGTTTAACGTTAGTTGCATCATTTTCGCGCACACGTTCTCATTTTGCAGTTCATCCCAGCAATAATTCTCACGCCTTCTCCCGCTCATTCCTCTGGTAATGCCTCTGCTGCGCTCTTTCGCTTCATTCTCTGATCTATTTCTTCTGTGAAAAATATGATATAATATTCAGGTGCCATTTTTTTCGCTTTCTCCAAAGTGGATGTGGATTGTGGAGTTCAGTTAAATATCATGCTTTTTCGGTAGATGTTCCCAATGATCTTTGGACTTTTCCCATCTATTTCTAACTGAATAGTTTCGGTCTTTTCTACTGTTTCAATTATAAATCGACTCTTTACAGCAAGCAATAGTATACGTTGTTGCTTGTGTTTTTCTAATTCTTTGTTCTTCCAACTTGCAAGTTGCAAAACACGAAAAAAAACCCAAAACTAGATATAACTGTGATTAGTCGAGTTCGTTAAAAGTTTAAGAAATGTACCGAAAAAACCTCTGATATAGCATAGGATTTGTTCATTTCTGTATTAATAAATTAAATTGTTGTTTAGGTTTGTGGCCTCATGCTGGTGTCATTGGTTTGGTAATAGTTGTCTCCTGGCCTGGCCCTTGACTCTCGAGTCTTGAGCCAGTCCCTTTTTCGGGTTGTTGAACATTCCATATTTTAAAACATTGACTTCTACCGGTCATATTCTTGTCACTTCTAAAAAATGGAAAGCTCAGATACAACGCCAACAACTTCATCCCTGCCTCCACCACCTCCAGTAGCTGCAGATGAGCCAGAGCCCAAGAAGTTGAAGATGTCCACTACAACTTCTGATGATGAAGAATGCACACCTGCCCCAGGCACCAAGAAAAGATACAAACGCCGTAAGGTTGCTATTTTCTTTGCTTACTGTGGTGTTGGCTATCAGGGTATGCAGAAAAACCCTGGCGCAAAGACCATTGAAGGTGACCTAGAAGAAGCCTTATATGTGTCTGGAGCTGTCCCTGAACATGATCGTGGAATGTCTAAACGATATGACTGGGCTCGATCGGCTAGAACAGATAAAGGTGTTAGTGCTGTTGGTCAGGTTGTCTCGGGTAGATTCTATATTGATCCACCTGGCCTTGTTGACCGCCTTAATTTGAACCTTCCTTCTCAAATAAGGATCTTCGGTTACAAACGTGTGACAGGTTCTTTTAATGCCAAAAAGTTCTGTGATCGGAGGAGGTATGTCTATCTCATTCCTGTGTTTGCTCTTGATCCAAGTTGTCATCGTGATAGAGAGACTGTCATGGCTAGTTTGGGATCTGAAAATGAGCTTGTTAAATGTTCTGAGTGTTCTGAGAGAGGCCGAAAGGTGGTAGGATTAGTTGGTAACCCTAAGCACAATCTGCAACTTGGAACTAAGGATGTTGAAACTGGTACTTCGTCCAACAGAGATGTTGTGCTTGACTCTGTAGTTACAGAGGATGTGAAGATTTCTTTGAGCAAAGGTGATGCTAATCATTTAAATGGGGAGTCTGGGAGTGATAATCAGGGTACGGTTTCTGTGGATGGCACAAACCCTAAAACTGGTATTGAGACGGTGATTCCTGTTCAGGATGAGGATATGCCTTTCAATGGCGAATCTGTGAATAATTCAGACATTATTGAGGAAGAAAAGATTATTGGAGAGGATAAGTCTACTAATGGAAGCGGGTTCTGTTATGGTGAGAAGGAGAGGGAGAGATTTAATATGATTTTGAACTATTTTGTAGGGACTCATAATTTCCATAACTTTACCACCAGAACAAAAGCTGAGGACCCTGCTGCTCGGCGTTTCATTATTTCATTCAATGCAAACACCACTGTTGTAGTTGAGGGCATGGAATTTGTAAAGTGTGAGGTTGTGGGACAGAGCTTCATACTTCATCAGATACGGAAGATGATGGGGCTCGCAGTGGCAATCATGAGAAATTGTGCACCGGAATCACTTATCAATAAAGCTTTGCAGCAGTGAGTACAACTTCTATTGTTTGTATTATCTATAAGTTTCCATTTGAAACGCAGTGATTTTCATTGGATGTCCTTTTTTCTACTTTTATTTTCCTAAACGCAGGGATGTCAACATTAATGTGCCTACTGCTCCGGAGGTTGGATTATATTTGGACGAGTGCTTCTTTGCTTCGTATAACCAGAAGTGGAAAGATAGCCATGAAGAGTTGTCAATGAAAGCGTATGAGAAAGAAGCCGAGGAGTTCAAAATGAAGTACATATATTCTCATATTTCTTCCACGGAGCAGAAGGAAGGAACTGTTGGTCTTTGGTTACATTCTTTGAACCATAGAAATTATCCAGATCTGCAAGTTGTCAACGAGGAAGCCATCACTGATAACAATAGTGCTGATCCTGAAGAAGCCAGTGCTGATCACAACAGTGCTGATCTTGAAGAAGCCATTACTAATCACAAGACTGCTGATCGTGAAGAAGCCATTGCTGATCACAAGAGTGCTAATCCTGAAGAAGCCATCACTGATCACAAGAGTGCTAATTCTGAAGAAGCCATCACTGATACACAAGAGTGCTGATCCCGAAGTAGTAGCTGAGTGAACTGTGTTCCAACAGTTCAATTGTGTACTCCTTTCCAATTGATTTGGCCTGTCTTTTCACTACTTCCGGATGATTATGTGTCTATCACCCCTGTTTCGCAACATGTACAATATACAAACTATGTGATGTGGTTCTCTGTTTCCATCACTCGGTGAAGAGACTAAGAAGAAAGAAATGAAAGAACATTTTTGCTATATTTTATGTTATTTTTAAAGTTTACAATATGATATTTACTTATTAGGAGGCCATGAGTGCCATTGCCATATACTTGTGACTATTTCATTGCAATTCTAACCTATATGACTCGTGAATTTTGTTTGTTTCTTTCATCTTCTATTTGAAGCAATTGCAAAAATCCTCGTCTACAATTTATTATCTTGCAGGTTAATATAAGTTTTGTTGTACTGTCTATGGGTGATTAAACTTGGTATCCTATACTTGTTTTATAAGGCCTACTACCGGCAATGCATTGTTGTATAGATTCATATGTATTGAGAATGTTAAATAAGCACAACACAAGTTACGTAGCTGTATGTCATTAGCATAATAAGTTAACAGCTCTTTTTGTTTCTCTGCAAGGTCAAACAACGACCTTTTCAACGATTCTAATCAAATTTGCTAGAGATGCAATGACGTATATATTTTTGTCGTGACCATCCATTGAAACTGAGCATACGTCTTGCAAATGTTACTAACATAGGCAAGAATTTTAACCATCCTATTATATTTTATCTGCTTTCCAAACTTGTTTCATTCTTACGACCTATCCTTTAATTCGAGTGTCCGAAAGTTTTGTGTAGTTTTTATTTGATACCACCTCTCTGTCTGTTCTTCGTAAGCATTTCGACTTTACTATCCAAACACCCAAGCCCTGTTTATTTCCCTAATTCTCGGATTCTCTCCATCTCTTCTTCTCACATTTTGTTTTCCAAATTCGTTCATCAATGCAAAATTTGCGAACAAACAGAATGAGGCCAAATAAACAGATTTCATTAACAAACCCTCCTGCAGAGCAAGCTTAATGACAGCAATATGTTGGGAACGAAATCGGTTAAAAACTTAGCATGGAAAGCCAATCTTTTGTTACAGCATGATCTAAAATTCACTCCAATCAACAAAACAAGCATCAGACACTGATATGCCAGACGACACAATCAGTTTCTACCAAGAGGGACAGGCCTAAAGGTAAAGTTTTTTGAAGTTCAGACTTTCAAGTGAAAATGGATAGATGCTCATCCTTCAACAAATTTTTTATGGCAAAAGCAGGAATGCATTGCACCACCACCACCACCACCATCACTTCATTGAAGCCAACATTTCCCATATTTACCAATTCAATCCATTTCTGTTTGCCACAAGCAGAGTTGTGAAAAATTGTTTAGTTTTTAAATTTAAATAGCACAAGAATATTTATATGATGAAACAACATTCCAAGAAAAAATTATTATGGAAACCACTGTTTTCAACACAACCAAAGTTGTCAATCAGCAGAGTTTATGTAAATTCATGTAGTCGTCGCAAACTTGACGCATAATCTTACAAGAATTTACCTAATGAACAAAAAACATTAAAAAAAATCTACAATTGACGTATATGTAAGAAGCACAATGCTTTTAACACAATTAGAATTCGATATTTCAACTCCATTGTAAGGAAAATAACAAACCACAACAACAAAACAACAAAGTAACAAACATCATATAAAATCACACATCACTGTCAACACACATGAACAATATCAAAATAAAATCATACATATCACTGTCAACACATTTATCAACAATATCATATTAAATCACAAATAATATATATAAGGCATGGGTCTGGGTGCAGAACAAATAGCCACAAACAAAATCACAAAAATTTGCTTGATCTACTGAATTTTGCACATGCCTTTCCATAAACAAATTTGCAATGGTTTTGGCCTGGTTGAGACACCTAGGATCATAAACTCGTGCAATTCTACATTGTTAAAACTAGAGTTTGACAACCTTGCACATGATCCCTCCATCACACGGGTTCTACCGGTACAAATTTAATTAATAGAAAATCTACCAGGTGTTTTGAAGTCAAAATGCTTTACTGATACATATCGAATATGCATTGTAATTCAAATATAGGATCCAAATATGTCTTTCGTTGATAGGTTAACAAGGAAATAACCTCATAGAAGATAAGTAAAGTTTAAATGGTAGATTAATTAGGAAGAATTTCCAATAACTTAATAAGAATTTATGACATATGAATAATTGGACGAAGCTCTCTATAATCGCCTAACACCCTCTCACATTCCTTATCTACAAAGAAGAAAGGGTAATACTAGTAAAATACTCTACTGACTATGGCAATCACTGACCTACTCATACTGTTTATTCATCAGGAACAAACAAAAGTAATTACCCTGAATGTCTCGTGTTCAAACCTTTCCTCGACTCGGATGACAACTCTCAGTTAAACTTCATCTATAGCATAATGTGCAAGCGGTACGTAATCAGAAATATAGGAAAACTACGAGTACAAATTCTAAAATCTACCTCTTTCCAAATAATAGATGTTATTAACAAAACTCCTTCCAGAGCATGATTAATGATAATAATCTAATGGAAATGAAACCAGTAAATCCATCAGAAGAAAAGTCAATTTCTTATATAACAAACTAAAATTCAGTACATTCCACAACAATAAAACAGTAGCGACACCAGTATAGCAGATTCCTCAATCAGTTTCTACCAAGAGGAAGAGACCTACAACTAAATGTTTCCTTAAAGTCAGACTTCTTAGACGAAGTGAAAATGGACGCATAGACTTCCTTAGTAGCATTTGCCGGTGCCAAATCCGCAGCCTTGAAACGCTTCGCAGCAGCAACACCACTATTTAAACCAACCTTACCATTGGCAACCTTCCCATTTACTTCCACCTTAGCTGAAACCCTATCCACAGCCTTAACATCAACACCATGCTTAGTACCACTCAACCTAGTCCCTTCCAAACTCACACCATCATCACAATTCTTAACCTTCCTATTCTTCTTTTCCCTTATCTTAGCTCTCTCTTCCTCCATCCTCTCCCTCAAAACTGCCACCTCCTCATCAGTCCCATTGAGCACAATCTTATCCACGTCAGCGTACTCCTTGTGACAAACCAAACACGACGACGACTTAACCTCCCTCAGAGCCCTGGCACTCAAAACATGCCCGCAATTTCTCAGCGCGAAAAACCTATACTTTCCATTGAATTCAAGCCCCGCAATGGGGCACTGAAACTTTGCCCCATCATCAGAGCCAGGAATCGAACAAAGCTGAATGTTGATCATGTCTTTCAAACCCTTGATGTACCCAAATTCTTTAGGAAGCTTCTTCCCCAGCAAAGCTTCCACCAGCGCTTCCTTGTTGAATATATTCCCCAATTTGTCGATCACACAGGGCTCCCTAAGGGGCTCGTTGGAGAGTGCGCAATTGTGCCACTTCGAGAGCCGCTGTTCGTTGGGGTCCACCTTGTCAGGCTTCTTGTCGGCGTACATGTTGAGGTAGCAGTCACGGGATTCGGCGCCGGTAGCGCCGCCATCTCCGCCGCCGCCAAGGAGGCGGGAGCGGAGGGAGAGGGTGGATAGGGGCGCGATTCCCCAGAGAATGGTTTCGTCGGGAAGGGGCTTACCATTGAGGGTGAAGTAGAAGCATTGGTGTGATTGGGGGAAAAGGGAGCGCTTTACATCGGAAAGGGTTCTGTGATTGATCGTGGATTGAACGGAAATTCCGAGGTCCGGTGACTGCACCAGGATTTGGAGCAATTTTGGATGCATTTGGAACGATTATCTAGGGTTTATGATGTGGAATTGGAGATCGAAAGAGTGTGATCGATTCGGGGTTATCAATTATGCGAACCCTAAAATATATTTGATTCGTGACGTTAATAGACTTTCACGACAGCTTTGATTGAAAATCAAAGGTAACCTGGTCTGATTTATATATTTAATATTTTTATTCTCTTTAATCTAAATTTAAATTGAGATTGATTTTTATCTTTTATCTTTTATTTTTTATTTTTAAAACTTTAAGTTAATCTAAGATTTAAAAGAGAAAAAAATAGGGTCTGTACAAACATTTCATTTATAAAATAATAATAATAAGTTATTAAGCATGAATCTCATTCAAGAAAACTTTCAAATTTTTTTGTCGTTGTTATTTAGAAAAATCATTTTTAGAAGTTTTTAATAATAATGATAGGATAAAATATATTTTTAATACAATAGTTATGATTAGTATAGCTAATATATTTTGTTTAATTTTATATAATATTAATTATTTTATTAAGTTTTTAATTATTAATTCAAAAATTAATTAATTTTATGAAATATTATGACTAATTACAAATATATATTATTAAATTTATAATATTTTCTTTAGATGATTATTGGATAATATGCGAATAATTTATTACTTGATGACATTTAAATTTATAGTTATTTTTGTGGCATAAAATTAATAGTGTTTTAGTTATGATGATTAAAATTTAATGAAGTAATTAATAATGTACGAAAATAAAATAAAATATTTATGTTGTTATATTTATTATATAAAAAATATATTTTTATCTTTTTTTTTAATTTTAGATTGATTTTCATTATTTGTTTTAAAACATACAGTTAAAAATAATTTTATATCACCATATAATTTTAAAAATATAATTTAAAAATGAGAGATTTATTTATTAAGAATTAAATATTTATTCATCATCTTATTATTTTTTTAAAATATAATTATATAAAATAATAATTTATATTAATAATTATATCATAAAAAATAAATTTTGATGTCAACAATTATTTTTTTAATTCTTATAACAAATACATTTCTTCTTATTTTAAAAATAGTTTTGTTATAAATTTTAGTTATATTTTTTACTTATAAAAAATATATAAGTAAAAGGTTAATAACAATAACTCACACATCTTCTATAACATAGATGAAATCTTGTTGTT